GAGGTTGTTGACCGTTCAAATTTTAGCTCAAACAATTTAAGCCTAAATGACAACTCATTAACAGCCCCCGTTTTGCAGTCCGAACCTTTCACCATTCTAATTCAATTTCGTTTGCCCCAATTTATCAATACATGTGATATATCGAAGATGTACCGGTGTGGTTGGCTTCACTCTGACGACCGCAATTATCAAAAAATCATGTGGCTAGAATCTCCTGAACACAATCATTGGTTTTATGTCGATAAGGCATTGTTCGTTTCAAATTCTTTAGTCAAATTAATCGAGCCCAAAGACGACTTAAAGACCGTTCTAGCGAAGGCAAGTTCCAAGATAAGTAAATGGTCGTCTAATTGTCCTGATATACAAGAATGCGCTCAGGCTACATCCAACAGTAATCGTTTAATAACTGACAAACAATACAATAATAAAACTTTAGATATCAGGTGGGATAACCAAAAAGAATCGTTTTTATATGCAGCATTCATTAGTCACGACGTCACAAATTTCGTAAGTACTAAGCGCAAGCTAAGCGAATTGCTATTAGGGAAAGAATTTCAGAATAAGCTAAAACCAGAAAATATCAAATGGACTTTAATTCCCCCGCGTGTGCCCAATTTTGGTGGTTTGTGGGTAGCGTGGATTAAATTCATAAAAACTCACATCCAGCGCATTATCGGATACAACCATCTAACGTACGAGATGATGTATGCGCTTTTGGTCAGGATTGAAGCTGTCCTGAATTCGCACCCTGTGACGCCGCTTTCCAGCGACGTTACTAATTCAGCCGCACTGACTCCGGGCCATTGTCTTGTTGGCCATCCATTGACAACTCCAGTAGAAAAGGAATACACTACTATTCCTGTCAACATCCTTTCCCGTTGGCAATTGAGTGAATCCTGTCGCCAACATTTTTGGAAGCGCTGGTCCGCGGAATATCATACGACGCTGCAGGGGAGATCCAGGTGGCAAACCCTCTCAAGAAACGTTCCCGGCACTGGAGCGCTGGTACTACCGAACAAAGAAGACAACCGGCTTCCGTTGCGGTGGCGATTACAACGAATAGTGCAAGTGCATCGCGGCAAGGACGATCTGGTTCGCGTAGTGTCTGTGCAGTGTCGAAATTGCATCATAAAGTGCGCCAATTCGGAAACGGTATTTCCATTTACTAATTCGGGCTCTGGTTAACTCATTACATACACACTATTGTAAATAAAGTTTGTCCACTCATATTGTACCTGATAAAGAGTTGTAAATCTCTCTTTCAGGTGTATTCCATGTATAAGTAATGCATTCTTATTGTATGTGGGCAAGTGTTGTAAATCGCTATTCTTAGTTTATTGCCCATATTGTATAATCACTGTGAATCCATTCTATACAATGTTAATTGTAGTAAATCTTACTCATGTATTCTGATTCGAATTGATCATTACGATATCATGTTATCACTCTAACATTCTATTATTTTGGTATTAAAACAATGTAATTGTTTCAAGGTGGGGGGTATGTTAGTGCCTCTGGCGGGGACCTGTTTCACCCCTCTCCACCCGTAAGGGTGGGAGCCAGGGCCACCACCACCTTCGAATACAGGGAACATTCATTCACTACTCATCATTCACTCTTCAAGCACTCTTCAAGCACTCTTCAAGCGGTTAACATAGTCTTTATATTCAATCTCTGGACCTAACGGTCATAATATCATACTCGCTCTAGAACACACTTGTTATTTATTTAATAAAACTATAAAACGACTGTCCGCTGCTCTTATTCATCATCCATCAAACTTAACAGACATCTTCAAAGTAAGAAGAACGAAGGGTTCGACACAACGATACTGTCTTGTTGTCTTCCTGTCTCGTCGCATAAAGTGTTACTTATGCGCCAAATAAAACAACTATTTATTTTTTAGTACTTTATATTTTAGCATTTTTTTTGTCAGATATTACTTCCCCGAAATAAAAATTCAGCCAATTTACACCAGAAAAGTATTACTGCTTAATGATTATACAGATGGCATAATTTTGTAACTATTGTTGTAAATAAGACTGTGAATCCAATCACTGTAAGGGAACAATTTAGTATATCCAGACGGATCTGTACTCTCGCATCCGTTTGCGCTGAAAAAGCTAGATATAGCATGAGCGATAACATATCCTCTACTGATATATTGTGTAATAGGACTACCGCTGTCTCCCTAAAACAATGAACAATATATTTTTTAAAGGGATTAAAGTAGTGAGAGCAATTTACAAAACAAGTTCCTTCATTGTAATTTCCCTCAAAACACACCATATTCTCAGCTAGTTGACTTCCATAAGTGATTCTACATTCAGCGTCCGAAACTGCCGTTAACGTTACCTGCATAAGGCTCTACCACACCTCAAGAAAATTTCTATTTTAAAAGATATGCAACTTGTAAAACACCCATGCTACCTCGTTATGACAGCTGCCACTCATCTCTAAGGGTTAAAATCGTTCACTTCGTTTACAATACTTAACTAGTTTTATTACTGCTATTGTCAGCGGGGGAAGTGTATCCCAGCTTGCAGGTAGAGCAGAGTAAGGAACTAAAATATTTATCTACTATGAAAGAAAACAAACAATATTTCTTAGCTTACGTTCGAGAAGTAAAAACGCAAAAACACGTCTACTGTCTACTGGTATATAAAAATTGCCATTTTGTAATATTAGTTTCAAAAGTTTTGAGCGATATTTGACAGGTGTATGACGTCATCGATAATTTTTTAAATAGCACATCCTACCTTTTTTTAGCATAAAGTCCCTTGAAAGAGAATTTTTGATATGCGGTTTAACCTAATTTACTGTCATAAGAAGAGAAAAAAGCCAAATGTGTGTTTTAAAATAAATTAATAAAATCATTGTCAGAGACTGTTGAGATCTTTACTCGCAATACACACAACAAAAAAATGCTTGTTCATATATATAATTCCGACCATAATTCTTCCTCTTATTTTTAAATTCCTGTTTCCATAAAAATTCGTATGTGTTGGGCATATTCTGTAAGTAGGTAGAAAAGTAAAATTAAATTTCCAAGAATATTTTATTGTAGGTATGAAGGTTCGTTATTGTGAGTATTTCTTAGTAATCTTGGAATTTTTCAACCCGAAATCTTAGAAATTTAGGTAGGTACATACCTAGTTACCTTTCGGAATGTATTTTGAATGAAGCAAATTGGTGGAAGGTTATTTCAACAGAACTTCTCTCGCCTCTGAAATACAATAAAACAAACCCAGCTTTTTCGAAAAATTATAAAATTTGATTATGCGAATTTTATTTTTTTTATGAGAACCCGGATATGTTAAAATTTTGTCCAAAAATTCTAGATGTCTAGGGTGAAAATTCTACACGGATTTACACACCACAAGTGCAGGAGTATCTAATTTTATCAAATTTAAAAAACGAAACAACGAAAGCAGATATCACTATTAAAAATGTTTTTAAAAATAGTATTCTAAAATTTAGAACAGCTATTATAAGTGCTATTAAATTTAGCAAAAATGAGCCTCTTCCTTCTTTTCCAGCATATATTTGGCAATCACGAACAATGTGCAAGTTATTTTTATTATAAAAATGGACAGTCAAATGATATTTTAATTTCTACTTTCGCAAATGGTGTTTTATACGAACCTTACAAACAAGTTTTAAATAGAATTGCAACTTTGTCGTCTAGTTTACTTTTTGATATTGAGAACAATGCTGTGGAATGCTACAATTCTGTCGTTAATAAATTTGTGGGAGGAAAAAGAATAAGTTTTTAAGTTTTTCTGCACGAGGATCGTATCAAGGATGATGCTTTCCTGCGACAATAAGTTATAATAATAAGGGTACGTTCCTAATTCCGTTATTCAAAAAAAAAATTGGGGAGGCCAATGTTAGTATACGAAGGCGTTTGTGGAACAAAAATTGAAAAAAACAAAAATGATTAATAAAACTAAAACCTCTATTAAAAAATTGCGTATCCGAAGTCTGGATTCCGGTAAAAATAATATCGTCAACGATGAACAAACGAAAACGAAGTGTATGAAAGAAAAAAATCGGATTTATTAATAAATCTGTCACAGAGTAGCGTAAATGCTATTGAAAAAGGTACTTGTGGTCAGCGAATGTGTAGGGAATGGAGTAAAGAAAGGACAAAATGAGAGACGGAATTAACATCGCAAATACCGTTAAAAGTATTGTGCATTCCGATAAAACTTTATGAAAAAATTGCCCAAGTCTATACAATTTCCTATTGACAATGAAGAAAAGGCCAAAGAAAAATTTGAAGCTCCAACAAATTTGAAAAAAATTTTTAGGAGCTTCTCCAGATGGGTTAATAAATTCTAATTCAATTGCAGAGATTAAATGTCCATATGCGGCTTGCAGTAAAAATATTAAAGAGCTATTAAAAATAAAATCATTAATTTATTGTTCAATAAATGCAGTTATTACAATTACCTAGTTTGAACCCGAACCACAACTATAGGTATGTATCAGGTATAACAGGGTCCAGTGCATATAACTAAAAGATATATATATCCTTCTTAATGCTATTGTCAGGTACTTCAAAGGATGGTCAAATAAGCTTAAGGTATTTAAAAGGTGCTCTATTGTGTGGGCCATAAATTACAGCTTACCGCCTCAGCTAATATTTTGGGTTGCCTAACTTACCAAAATTTGCCCAAAATGCTTTGCAGTTTTTTTACAATAACTAAAAGAAGTAAAATTTTAACAGAAAACGAAGAATGGCGCCTAAAGTAGAAACAAATTCTCTATCACCTCGATATTTTTTAAAAGCACACCGAGTTATAGTTTTCGCTAAAAATCCGCTGGGGTTTTACGCACTTTATTTTTTATTTTAAAAACTGCTACGTTTTTTAAAAAATACAAGTCGCTTCCTTAAAGATTTTTATGTCATGAGCACGCACATGTATCGCCCTGCTCTTCAACTGTTAAAATAAAGGCGCAAAATGGGTTGGCGTTTTGCCTTATTTTGGCATCTTTTAATGACTGTGTGGCGGAGCCATAAGCGTATCCGAAAGCTCAGGATTACCTGTATAATTTTATACAAGTAGAGTAATATTGTAACCGTCAAATTATATCTACAACACACCATCGGAGGTTTGACCCCAGCCATAAGCTATCCCTGTAGTCGTTTCATCCATTGCTTCATACGGTAGATAAAGACGGTTAATATATGCTGAAAAAACGAATCATAACAGTTTCACATGATATAACTCCCTACGTGTAAATGTAATAGGTCCTCTAAACTTTATAAGTCCAATATCATTTGCCAGAGTGCTTGGGTTGTAATCTGGATGTAGAACGTAGTGCTCTGTTGCTAATCTAAGAATAGATTCATCGTCACCACTAAGTTTGTGGGTGCCCATAAGTATTGTAAAAAGAATAGTCCTTCAAAGTTTTCAATTAGCGTGTAACAACAAAACCGGTTTTTTTACCCATCCACGCATTGACCAGCTGTGAGTACCCATTCTATGCCCACAACTGCTCCAGTACAGAAGTAGTTGCCTTCAGCTGTCGACTTGTAAATCGCTGCAGCGTATGGAAACTCTCCAACGCAAGCTTCTTGACCACCAATTATGCGAACACCTAAGAGTTTATTTGTAAATGTCTGAATTATGTTGTTTGGTATTTTACTTTTTGAATATGAGAAAAATAGCACAAAAATTAAAAGAGTTGTCCTCATTGTAAAAAAAACTACATAAAAAATTTTGTTGTGGTTTATATTTTTATTAAAATTTTAGTTGATATCATAAATAAGTTTTTTATCTAAATTACTTAATGTAATAAGGAAATTTAAATATTTTATGCTGATCCACAGTAGTTATAAAATAATTATGTCGTAAAGGTAGCATGCACAAAATGCTTAGTAATGGTTGTAATAGCATATTTATGACTGAAATGTTATCGGACTCTAGATAAATAAACACGCAGTTAAATAAACAAACAACTTCATTGCCAAACAGAAAACATCCAATTCTAAGAAAATTTTTCCAATATGTCAAAAACAATCATTTGATTTTCTTTCTACAAAATAACGTCAAAATTTTGTTCATTAAATAGGTACAATAAAATTAAAATGCTTGCCTTTACGAAAAATTACTTGATAAGTCTATGCATGCAAAACTGAGTGTAATTTAAATAACAGAAGTTTCGGAAAGAGTTTCCATGTTTCATCCACTTTCGTAAAGGACATGAAGAAGAAGAAGAAGAACGAACGGGAGAGAAGAGCATTTTAACATTTTATTGTCAAATACTGTTCATATAAAATAAACATAATTAAAACAATTTTAAGCAGAAAAGTTTTTACTGACACTAATTAGTGATTATAGATTACACAGATGACAAAGTTAAATTGTTTATCCAGTCATTGTAAGGGAACACTTTTGTATATCCAGAGGGATCTGTACTCTCATTGTAAAGAAATTACAAGGAAAATTTTTATTGTAGTTTACAATTTTGTGCAAGCTTGGTTGCTCTAGTAAATAAGTTTTTTATCTATTGAATTTAAGAAATCTAGAAATTTGAAGACATCCTATCCTGATGTACGAAAGTCTATAAAATAATTACATCGTAAATGTAGTGTGAACAAAACGCTTAGTAATGGTTCAATACTACAATTTAAAAATGACACATTAACAGAATGTAGATAAATAGACAAGGAATTAAATAAATAAATAAACTACTTTATTGCCTTTCAGAAAATTATAAAGCAATAGTTTAAATATGTATATAAGAATTAATAGGTCATTAAGGCTTATCGTTTTAAATTTTCCACCTAAATCTTTCTGCATTTGATTCTTGATCTACATCTTGCCCGCTTTCCATTTGGCAAGCATTGTCTTATCCCAGAATTTTGAATTGGATTAAGTGTTTTTGCAATGTTACCCATTCTGCGCAAATGTATTTTAGAGTTGGCGCTTAAAGCAATTTTACAAATTCTCACTTTGATCTTCCCTGAGACTTCTTTTGATTTCCTAATTCGACTTAACTCTCATAACCATTTGTAAATTTTTGTAATTTTAATTTTCCTGTTTCTTGATTGCCTCTACATATTATCCACTGGAACTCACAGCTTTCTACGTCTTCAAATATCGTTTTTTTATAGTTGCACCTTGAACCCTACTCTAAAATCTACTTTAGTTACTTTTGGGTATTTACTTTTCTCAACTCTATTCGAACTTTTTCGACCACCTTCGAAATTACCTAAAGAGATTTTGTTCTAGATTCCGACCTTCAGAAGTTATTATCGCCTTAATTTTTTTGAAGAAAATTCCTGTCATGATTCTTACGATTTTTTTACAAAATCGAATTTCATTTTTTGGCAACTTTTTCAAAAGCTCAGTTTTTCAATACTGGAAAGGAACAAAAAATTGTAATCTTGAAAACAAAATCAAGCATAAGAGTCATGATACTAAAAAATATGTCAATTTCGGTAGAAATTACAAAAGTAAGACTTTAAAAAAGATCTACATTTTCGACAAAGAAGCTTTACTTTTGAAGCAGAGGTTTGGAAGAAAATTTGAAATCATGATAAACGTAGCGAAAACAGTAGAATCAAATACTCCCGAAAAATCAAACCTTCAATGAAAACGTTAAGATTTACAAAAATTTGAAGATAATTTTGGTGATATCATCGATAAAGAAGGAGCTTCATTTTTTGCTTCAACAGACGTCGAAAATGAATTCTCGACAGATTCGATCTTCAAAAATAAACTAAAATTTTAATATACCTAACGGTTTAGGATTTTGATGAAGAACGCTAGATTTGGCAAACAAGAGAAAGTCACCAAGATAACAATAAAATCATAATTTTTGGAACGGAGTTAAGACTCCTAAAAGTAATTTAAAGTCTGAAAAAAAATCATAAAACCAAAAATTTGAATAAAATCTACGCTCCTGAGAAACAGAGAGTTAATTTTGAAACTTCAAGAAAAATTGTGACCTGGATAAATAACCATCGAAAACCAGTGGACATCTTAGACATCATTTTTAAAAGTTCAATTTTTCTACATACCCTCCTTGGGAAATTTTCGAACTTCCTTCAACCACTTTCGAAAACGATTTTAATAGTTCTCTTTTTCGATTTCAGAAGTTGTTTTCACATTTTAGGACTTCGAGTATATTTTTTTTCTACATATCAAACCGAATATTTCGAAATTTTACTTCGGAGCAAATCAGCACGCTGGGATCTATGTCTCAGATCTTTTTATGAATTCTTAAGCAACTTTTCAAAAAGCTCAGTTTTTCAAACAAATTTCCAAACTCTTCTTAACCACCTTCGAATATTGTCTAAAGAAATATTTTTGTAGATTTCGACCTTCAGAAGTTATTTTCGACTCCATTCATATTCTGACGTTGATCTTCCATGAGACTTCTTTTGATTTCATAATTTGACTTAACCCGCATAATTATTTGTTAATTTTTGCTACTCTTATATTAATTGTTGTTTCTTGATTACATCTAAATATTATTATCCACTAGAACTCCGATGTCCATATACCTTTCTACCGCTTCAAACGCTGCATCGTTGTTAAATTTCCACCTTGAATTCAAGGATATGTAACTTATTTTTTTATTTTTCGACAAATTTCGACCTTTTTTCCACCACCTTCAAAATTACCTAAAGAGATTTTGTTGCAGATTTAGACCTTCAGATGCCATTTTCGGTTTCATTTTTTCGAAAAATTCATACCTTTTTCTGAGAATCGGCCATATGAAATAGTCAGTTTTTCAATTGTGGTAGATCTAGCAAAAACAAAAAGTCGCAATCTTGAAAACAAACTCAAAATCTTAAGCAAACGAGTCACGACACTAAAAAATATATCAATTTTGGCAACAATTTCAAAACTATTTAAAACTTTTGAAGAAACGAGTTTTTAACTTTTATATGTTTTAATTTTTCAATTTTCCAATTTTTCGGTTCTACAATTTTTGATATGCGATTTTTCATTCTAATGTATGTATTATAACTTTAAAAATTTTTTACTTTTTCAATTTTATGATTGTAGAATTTTTCATTTTTCAATTATTGGATTTTAAAATTTTTCAATTATTCGATTTTTCAATTTTCATTTTTTATTTTTCAATTTCTCGAGATGTAATTGCCAATTATTATTCCATCTTTGAATGTCACAGTTTTTTGACTAGATTTTGACGATTCTATAATTTTTCGATTTCACAATTTTTCTATGCGATCCATTTTTTCTTCTTACCAATTTTTTCATTTATTAATTTTTTTCGATTTTCATGTTTCTAGATTTTTAGTTTTTCATTGTTTTGATTTTTCGTTTTTTCAGTTCTTTGATTCACAATTCTCGGATTTTACACATTTTCCATTTTGCAATTTTTCAATTTAAAAATGAAAAAACGAAAAATTGTGATATTAAATCTAGAAAATGAAAATTAAAAACTGGAGAAAATGAAAAATAAAAGTCAAGAACTTGAAAAATTGAGGAAACGAAAATTTGAAAACTAGAAAAGTAAAAATTAAGAAACTGAAAAATTGTGAAATCGAAAAATTGCAAATCGAAAAATTGAAGAAACGAAAAACTGAAAAATTTGGAAGTCGGGAAATTGAAAAATCGAAACATTTTAGTTGAGAAAACGAAAAATTATGAAACTGAAACATTAAAAAATGGAAAAATTGAAAAATGAAAGAAAATGAAAAAGCAAAGAATTGTGATATCAAAAAATTGGTCGAAGATAAACGAATCCAGATTTTCCGAAAGTAATGTTAAAGTCAATGTAATTTTTTAAATGAGTTTCCATTGCAAAATTTCATAATGATGTTATCCATTTTTTCGGAGGCAATAAAGGAATACATTTTTATGAACGATTTACAATGCTTACGATCATCTCAAAACGTTTAATATTTAATTTAAAAAAATTCAGACTATTCGATTTTGCAATTTCAAAGTTAAATTCCAAAATATTATAAAATTTTGATATTTTTTTCCAAAATAAATCCAGATGCAAGAGTATCATTATAAACTTAACTGAGAACAGGAAGATCTTAAAATCGAATTCTCCAAAAAAAGACAACCACAATAAAAATAAAATCAAAATTTTAGGCAAAGAGTCAAGACTTCCAAGTTATTCAGAAAACAAATTATAAAATCAAGAATTTGAATAAAATCTACGCTCTTGAGAGAAAGAGGACTTAATTTTGAAGCTTGAGAAAAATTGTTAGCCTGATAAATAACCATCGAAGACCAGTGGACATCTTAGACAACATTTTCAAAAGTTCAATTTTTCTATACACCCTCCTTGGGAAGCTTTCGCTCTTTTTTCAACCACCTTCAAAAATGATTTAGAGCTTTGTTTTATGTTTCAATATCAGAAGTTATTTTCGGCTTCATTCCTTTGGAAACTGTTTCCATTTTTCCAGGATAGCTCGCCCATTTGAAATATGGCAGATTTTTTTTTCTTCCAAACCAAAAGTTTCGAAAATTTTACTCTGGGAGCATAGGCACGTCATTTTTTTGGAATGAGAACGTCAAAATCTATGTCTCAGATTTTTTATGAAAAAATTTTTGACCACTTTCGAAAATTACCTAAAGAGATATTTTTGTAGATTTCGACTTTCAGAAGTTCATATTTTAACTTTGATCTTTCTTGAGACTTCCTTTGCCCTCATAATTGTATGTTAAATTCTTCTACTCTTAAATTAATTACTGATTCTTGATTACCTCTATTACCCACTAGAACCCCCAAATCCATATAGCTTTCCACTTCTTCAAAGACTATGTTCTGTTTTTCTGTTTGCACCTTGAATTCTACTCCCAAAGCTACTTCACTTTTGGGGTTCACTTTTCTCAACATTGATATTCATAGTGTAAAATCGACCGAAATCATTTCTCAAGCGTATTTTTTCAACATCCACTCCGAATGGTGAAAAATTAATAAATTAAACCAAATTCTGTTCATTGTTAAAAAATCAAAACTAACAAAACTTGTTGTGATTTTTGGTAATTTTTGAAATTTTCGGATGAATATTAATCAATAATATCAGTTTACTTGTGTCTTTCTTTATTTCTTAAAGGTACCGCGAAAACAGGTGTTTTGAATATCTACCAAGTACTAACTGTTTTTACCTAGGCGACATGGCTTTGCTGTTTTTTATTGCACGACGTGTGTGAATGGGGTTAAGAATGGGTGTTATTTCAAAAACGATATGTTTATTTCGTTGAAATTCATAAATCTGTGCATACAGAACTGCTTCATTTTAAGGGAAATTATGTATAAAAAACTTTGGTCCAACGTGGTAAGTATATCAAAATGGTCTAATAACCGTTAATAATAATAATAATTAATAATAAGAATAAGTTTTTACTTTCATTGGGCCATCTTTAGGAAATAAAGAACAAGAAGATCGAAGATTCCATGAGAGAGAAGAACACTACAGAAATTAATCTCTTCTCTCGTCACATAAAGTATTCCTAACAAAACAAGTATCTCTTATTCATTTTATTGTCAAACAGTTTTTTCCCAAAAAAAAATAAGTTGAAACAATTTAAGGCTGATTAGTGATTATGCGTAGTTGGGAAAGTATAATTATTGATCCAGCCATTGTAAGGGAACACTTTTGTGTATCCAGAGGGATCTGCACTCTCGCAACCATTTGCACTGAAAAAGCTAGATATGGCATGGATGATAATATATCCTCTACTGATGTACTGTGTAATAGGACTACCACTATCTCCCTAAAACGAACAATACATTTTTTAAGAATGTAAATTCTGGCAACAACTTACATAACAAGTTCCTTCATTATAATTGCCCGCGAAACACACCATATTCTCAGTTAATTGATTTCCATAAGTGATTCTACATTCAGCGTCAGAAACAGCCCTTAACGTTACATGTACGAGAGTGTCCGAAAGTTCAGGATCATCTGTATAAATTTAGTAGAACAATAATTAAATAACGCTACATTATTATACAACACACCGTCGGAGGTTTGACCCCAGCCATAAGCTATCCCTGTCGTCCCTTCAGACACTGGTAGATACGGTACATAGGCACGGTTAATATAAGCTGAAAAAAAAAGCTATACTTAATCACAGTTTCACAGGATGTAACTCCTTACTTGTAAATGTAATAGGTGCTCTAAACTTTATAAGCCCAATATCATTTGCCAGAGTATTAGGGTTGTAATCTGGATGTAGAACGTAATGTTCTGTTGCCACTCTAACGACCGATTCATGGTTGACACTTAGTTTGTGAGTCCCCATAACCACTGTGAAAAGTATAGCCCTTTAAAGTTTTTAGCTAGAGTGTGAAAATAAAGTCAGATTTTTTACCCATCGACGCATTGACCAGCTGTGAGTACCCATTCGTCAGTTAGAACCGTTCCAGTGCAGAAGTAGTTGCCATCAGCTGTTGACTTGTAAATCGCTGCAGCGTATGGAAACTCTCCAACGTAAGCTTCTTGACCACCAATTATGCGACTACCTAGGGGTTTATTTGTAGGTGTTTACTGAATAATATGTTGTGTCTTGTTTTACCTCGTGAAAGTGCCCAAATTGGCGACAAGCAAAGCACACAAATTAGAACTGTCCTCATTGCAACAAAATTTGGAAAATTTTAGTGTAGTAGATAGTTCTAGTGTAACTTTAGTTGCTATTGTTTTGTCGTAAATAAGTTTTTATCTAAATTAATACAAAGTTTGAATTCTTTCTACTGATCCACAGAAGTCTATCATATAAATAATCATATCGTAAAGGTAGCACGAAAAAGTTGTTTAGTAATGGTTGCGATAACACATTTTTTGATTAAAATATACATGATCAGACCTTAGATAAATGAGTAAATTATTGTTGGAAAAATTTTATATTAATACCAGAATTATCCGAAAAAAAATTATTTTAACGAAACTAAAAATTTTTATAATTTGTTGTTCATCTATTCCAACTTTAGCCAGTTCAGAAACAGCTGACGCTCTGATAGTAGGATTTGTTAGTTTTAATTTCCTGTCAATTTCGATCTCTTTTGCAGAATCTTGCATCCATTTACAATGGTATTTGGCCCCACCGGAAAATTGTTGAACCATTTTCCAGATTGCTTTTGATTGTATTTGGTGTTAAGAAAAGCCTATCACTTTTGACATCATCTGATCGATGCTCTAATAACCTTTTGTATAATCCAATGGGATATATACCGACATTTACTGTGTTTGGAGTTAACCATGTATTGTCTGATAATTTTTTCGAGCGATATCATGGTGTCTTGTCAAATATAGAACCATGTATTCTAATTCGTCAACCAATCACAGTTTCCAAAAGAGAAACTGTCTCCTAGGGAGAAGTTTTTCCATAATAATACATGTTCATTCTTAGTTGTGACCCTTGGCTTCTTGTTCTATACTTAGCTGCACTTCTCCAGTTCTCGATCTTATTTTTCTTACATCTTTTCGCACCATTTCCCTTCTTGACTACTTAGGGCTTTTGCTGCATTGGTAATTATTGATTAGTTATAAAAAATCTTCATCAATTCATGGTTTGTTCTTCGTACCCACTGATCTCCAGTCTTCCATCATCCATCATTTTTTCTTAATATCTTCCTTTCTTAAATTTCTAGTATAACGTTTCTTGTTTTGCTAATTTTCCACAAGTTATTCTCATATAAGATTAACAGTTGAATAATGATTTTAGACACACGTAATCTTACTCTAACTTAAATCTTCTTCGAACTGAATACATTTTTTATTATCCCTATACTTTTTGTTTCTTAAGTAATTCTTTCTTATAATTACGCTTTTTGTAGTTATTATTTAAAATCGTAATTCCGAGATATTTAAAATTGTTCACTTTCTTAAAATTATATTGGATCCCATAGGAGGAGCACAAAGTACCGAAGCTTGGAGAATAATAAGAATAACTTACTTAAAACAGAAACGAGAAGCTGCGTAAGTAAAAGAACTGCTACATTACACGCCTACTATCGATAACTGCTTAGAAAAGATAGATAGAAGAAAGAAATACCACCTGATCCGGGACCCCTCTAAATACCCGAAAGGTGCTTTAGTCGAATGATTGACCACTTTGTTCAAGAACTTTCCATATTATTATTAGTATTGTTATAAGTTAGTGCTGAGCCATTAAAATCTTGTTAAGGTTATAACTAACAGATTACAGAAAAAATATAGGTCAAACAAGACAGAACCCAGAACGGAACCTTGTGGTATGCTTAATGTTGTAGTGACCGAATTTGAATCAAATTTTCGCGCTGCAATTAATTAACAGCGGCGCGAAATCACATTTGAATAATTTGAGTTTGAGAAAAAAAATTGAATCAAAAATGGTTAAACATAGGCAACCATGTGCACGTTAGCGCCATAGAAATAACCGATTAATTAATGCTTGTTGTTAAATTAATAATGTTAATTAATGTAACAATAAACGCTTTTAAATTAAATGATTTGAAACAACCCAACGAGTTTAGAGATCATACCAAAGACAATTTCGTTTGTTGTTAGATCTAAAAGCCTAAGCGCTCTTTCAATTTTCAATTTTGTTATAAAGAGAATGAACAAATTATACAGAATAGAACACCATAAAGTGCATGAAGATCAAGCATTGAAAAAAATTCTGTAATGTTTATGTTTTAATACTAGCAATAAAAGTAACATAAAACGATTGGAATATAAACCTGTCGGTATTTTCCATAAAAAAAAAAAAAACAAGTCTTGTGCACAATCTTTTTCTTGCTTGTTCAACTAAAAAATGAAATTTTTGGTGTTACTGTTGACAATCCTACCCATTTGGTCTAGAGTGCAAGCTCGATCAAGTAAAATAAACTAGTTATTTCGTTATTTAATTCACTTAATAATGTACTAATTTTTCTATAGACTCTCGCATTATTGGTGGCCAAGCAGCAATCGCAGGCCAATTTCCATATGCCGCAGCCATTTACAAAACCACTGAAACTGGTAAATATTTCTGTGGTGGGGTTCTTGTGAGTAGTGAATGGGTTCTAACAGCCGGGCAGTGTGTCGATGGGTAATGTTATTCTTTAATTTATCACTCAAAGTACTTTCTAAACTTTTATAGAGCTATCCTCTTTACAATCTATTTGGGTACCACAAAGCTGGAAGAACCCGATTCTACTATTGTCACAGTTTCAACAGATACCTACGTTCTTCACCCTGACTACAACCCAGAAACATTAGATAACGACATCGGTCTGATTAAACTCCGGCTACCAGTTTCTTTCAGCAGTAGGTTTTTAACATTTACAGTACCTAATTTTTGAATTTTGCCCATATGTTGTAGTTTACTTGGACAAAATTAATCTTCCTAGTCAAATTCTTATCAGTGGTGAAACAAGTCGAGCTTATGGCTGGGGTCAAGTTAGCGATGGTTAAATTAATGTTTTTCGTGTTTTTGGAATGACCCTTGTTCATATAAATTATTGCAGATGATGCAGGTGTTGCGGATCAGTTGAACTGGGTGGAATTAAGTGTACTATCCAACGAAGAATGTAAAATAACATATGGGAACCAAATTACAGATAATATGGTGTGTTTGAGTGGTAATTATAATGAAGGTGCATGTGTGGTAAGTTTGTGGTCACAGTTAATGGATAAGGAAGATAGAGGAATCATTTTAGGGTGATACGGGAAGTGCTGCAATACAGCATGCAGGCAGAGGCTGGACCATCGTAGTGGGTATATCCACTTTTGTTAGCGGAAATGGGTGTGAAAGTACTGATCCCTCTGGATATACTAGAGTTTATCATTATAATGACTGGATTAGAAATGTTACAAGTGGCTAGTATAAATAAAAAAATGTTTGTGGATACCCTTAGTTTCAATATTTATTCTAGTTGCATTAAAGAGAACTAACGTGATTTTTTAAATTTCTGCTCTATTTACTCATGTTCCGTAACTGAACTTGAAGCGTAAATTAACGCACGGTTTCAAGTGTTTAATTTCCCCCAGAAAGTTTCACCTTGAACTTGCATATTACCCCCTTTACTAATTTATAGTGAACCAAGACCTATAAGGTTATATGGCCATCATAAAAGTAGTTAACCGCAAATAAATACCCCCTTTGTGTGGTTCGCACTAAGCTTACCGGTTGGCAATAAATCATCTTCTAAACATTTCTTGCTCATATTTAACAGGACCGGCTTTCAAAGCGAGTGGTTATTTCGGAACCCTCAGCGGCTGCAGGTAGTAAAGAAATAGTAGTGGTGGATTTTCATATTTAGTGAAAGCCGCCCCTGAACGAAACCACAAGAGCCGATCGAGCTGCAGTGGACACGTTATTTACGACCCTAAAACCTTTTCTATTGTAAACAACTTAACTTCGACACAATGGGATGATTTTATGATGGCCATATAACCTTATAACTCTTGGTTCACTATAGTCAGAGTTATGTTATTAATACAGACGACTGTGAATGCGTGGAAGTGTGAATGGCTGACTACATCACCAAAACGATTTTTTTAATGTGTTTTCTTTTTGGTGAAAGAATAATTTTGAATCGGGACACCACATTATATTTATTTTAAAAGTACTACTTGTACAGAAAATAAATAATGTATTAAAAAGCATCTACAAATATGTAAAGCACTTTTTTAGAAAAAAAGATTGAGTCTTCCAGTTGAGTTAATACCACTGGAACTCTGACGCAAACATTGCATTTTTTTCTTATCTTCAGATAAAATGACTGAATTGAACTTGATGTTAAAATTTACATTGCGACATATTGAAATGATGTTGACAAGGTTAGAAACGGTATTATTGAGTTAATGATCATATGGTGTGTTTCTGGAAAATTAAATAAACATTAGAGTATACCTACTCATTTAACTTTCTATCTTAGTCCACTTCATATTTACAGATGTTATTTAAACCTTAAGTGTTTTATTGTTGATTTGAAGATTATCCTTAATCTATTTTGTTTGTCTACCAGTTTACGTAAACTGTTGAACGTGCGATAATCTTTTTAGAGGAGTTTTTATAAGCTTAGATATTGGGTTTTGCCAAAAATCTACCAAAATTTTTGATAACATAAATAATGGAAAATTTTGAAATTGATTAGATGTAATATAAAAATTCCTTCAATTTTTTACATTTTATTAATTGTTAAATTGTCCAGTTCTTCCTGTTATGTTCCTTATCCAGTCAACATATGTAAATACTCTTGTATATCCAGATGGATCTGGACTTTCGCACCCATTAGTACTGATAAAACTGGATATTGCTGGAACTACTGCTTGTCCTCGATTGATGATTTGAACCAAAGGACCACCAGTATCACCCTAAAAAGAAAATAAAAGTACATACTTCTTAGTTACTAAAATCATTAAATATATACAAAACAAGTTCCTTCATTGTAATTTCCAGCAGCACAAACCATATTCTCTGTAATTTGGTCACCATACACTATTTTACATTCAGGATTAGATACAGAAGTGACATAAACATAATGAAGATCATTGACAAGTCCTGGGTCATCTAGAATAACTCAAGATTTACCCATCTGAAGTTTGGAAGTGTCATAGTTTACCATCCGCAATTTGGCCCCAACCTATAGCCATGGCTGAACTAACAGGAGGCAGTTCACCAAAAGGCAAGAAATCAACAGGCTTCAGATAATCTAGAAGAGAAAAACTAATTCAACCAAAACGAGGATTTTAGTTAGAGTAAGTACCAGAAAACTCCACCGGTAAACGAAGCCAAATTAACCCGATATCATTATCCAAAGTAAGGGGATCGTACTCTGGGTGTAAAATATATTCGTCTGCAGATACCTTTACAGCGTAGGGACCACTTCCATCTAAAGTATTCGTCCCCAAATGAATCTCAAATAACTCCGCCCTAAAATTTTCGGTCAAGATTTGTAACCCATGCGTACGCTATAGTACCCATCAACGCATTGCCCAGCGGTTAAGACCCACTGGTCTGTCAGCAAAGTTCCACCACAGAAGTAGTTACCATCAAGTGTGGTTGTAAAAATGGCAGCGGCAAATGGAAATTGGCCACTTCTTGCTACTGAACCCCCGATTATACGTGGACCTGCAACAAAAACATTAAAGTAGATCTACAACTGAAAAATATACAAACCAGTGAAGGTTTTCAGACTGGTAGATTTTTTATTTGGAAGGGACCACACAAGATTTGTACACAAGAGGAGAACGAAGAGTTTCATTTTGGGCTCTCAACAACTACAAATAATAAGAATTTAGCGATTTTAGAGGTATTCTTTTTATCGCAATGCGTCAAAGTGGTACTTAGAAAACTGATTACCTTTGAAATTCTAAATCGTTGGGTACACTTAACTTAACTGAATATAATCTTAAGTTATATAACTCAAATACTAGCAAATTAATGTTAAGGAATTTAGTTTCCAATATTAGGGAGTCATTGACAAATTAGGAAACCTTTATTATGGTCATTAATACACTAAAATGTATTATTTCTTTATTTCATAATTTTTAAATTTCATTCTCTGCCCGTTACATTCTTTATCCAGTCAACGTATGTAAATACTCTTGTAAATCCAGACGGTTCCGGACTTTCGCATCCATTCATACTAACAAAGCTGGCAATTGCTGGAATGAGTGCTTGGTCTCGATTGACGATTTGTACTAAAGGACTACCAGTGTCTCCCTAGAATCAAATTGAACGGAATTCGAAAGTACTTAAAATAGTACCGATTTACAAAACAAGTTCCTTCGTTGTAGTCTCCAGCAGCACAAACCATACCGTCTGTAATTTGATCACCGTAGAATATTTTACACTCTAGATTTTCAACTGAATACATATATACCCAACGAAGGTCACTGGCAAGTCCTGGATCATCTAGAACAATTCAAAAATTACCTATCTCACTTTTAAAGACATAGTGAGAATTACCATCTGAAATTTGACCCCACCCTATAGCCATCGCTGTACTCTCAGCAGGAAATTCACCAAAAGGCAAAAACTCAAAAGGTTTCAAATAGTCTAGAACCGAAGAATTAACTTTACCCAAAAATTTTGACTATAGTAGATACCAGAAAACTCCACTGGTAAACGAAGCCAAATTAAACCAATATCGTTTTTCAAAGAGAGAGGATCATACTCGGGGTGTAAAACATACTCGTCTGCAGATACCTTTACAGCATAGGGGTCACTTCCATCTAAGGAATTGGTTCCCAAATGAACCTCAAACAATTCCACACTAGAATTTTCGGTCAAGGTTTGCTACTATGTGTACTATGTTATAGTACCCATCAACGCATTGTCCAGCTGTTAGCACCCATTGGTCTGTTACCAAAGCCCCACCACAGAAGTAGTTACCATCCAGAGTAGTAGTAAATATGGCAGCAGAAAATGGAAATTGGCCACTTCGTGCTAGTGAACCTCCAATTATGCGCGGACCTACAAAATAACGTTAAAATAGATTTATGTTTGAAAAACATGCAAACCAGTATATGTCCTCAAACTGGTAATTTTTTTATTTGGAAGGGACCGTCCCAGGCATACACACAAGAGCAAAACGAAGAGTTTCATTTTAAGAGTGGAACAACTGAAAGAATAATAAAATTGTATAAGTATATTATGAAAGCTTAGAATGACTTACGTTTGAAGCCCCGAAATGTGTATAAACAATTCAACTTTAGCACTTCTACAATTATTTTTTATCTCAATATGTCAAAGTGGTATTTAAAAAATTTATTACCTTTGAGATTCTAAATCATACATACTTTAAGCGAATTTTATCTGTGTTCTAGAACTCGGGAACCGTCTTCTAACAGTTTCCGTTTCTTTAGCAAAATAAATAACCTTGTTTTATAAATTATTGTTTAAAAAAAGACACTTCTTGTTTTGAGTACTTATTTATTTTTTGACTTCAACCTTTTATGGTCTACCCGTTATGTTCCTAATCCAGTCATTATATGCGAAAACTCTCGTAAATCCAGATGGGTCTGTGCTTTCACAACCATTCATACTGACAAAGCTTGCTATGCCTGCAACCACTGTGTGTCCTCGACTGATAATTTGTACCAAAGGACTACCAGTATCACCCTAAAAACCAAAAAACGTAATTCGAAATTATGTAACATTGGTTAAAAGTACAATGCATGTTCCTTCATTATAGTTTCCGTCAACACAAACCATACTGTCTGTAATTTGGTTACCATAAACTGTTTTACATTCAACATTAGATAACGAAGTGACGTATACCCAACGAAGATCATTGACAAGTCCTGGATCATCTAGAACAAGCGAAGAATTAGCATCCCATTCTTAGAGATATTGCAAGATTACCATCTGAAATTTGACCCCATCCGATAGCCATACCGGAGCTAGAAGTGGGTAATTCAGCGAAAGGTAAGTAGTCAACAGGTCTCAGATAGTCTAGAAGACAAGAATTAATTTTAGAGAAAAATATCCTATTTACAGTACCAGAAAATTCCACTGGTAAACGAAGCCAAATTAATCCAATGTCGTTATCCAAACTAAGCGGATCATACTCTGGATGTAGAATATATTCGTCTGCAGATACCCTTACAGCGTACGGATCATCCCCATTTAAAAGATTGGTCCCCAAGTGGATATCAAACAACTCCGCTCTGAAATTTTCGGTCAAAATTGTTACACGTGTGTTTGACATTGTCGTACCCATCAACGCATTGGCCAGCTGTCAGCACCCACTGATCTGATAGCAAAGTACCTCCACAGAAGTAGTTGCCTCCAAGAGTGGTCGTGTAAATGGCAGCAGCAAATACAAATTGGCCAGTTCTTGCTTCTGAACCGCCAATTATGCGTGGACCTGCAAAACAAGGTTATAATTAAAGTTTAATTGGAAAATATACCAACCAGGTAATGTTTTTAAATTTGTAGGTTTTTTATTTGGCAGTGACCACACGAAACTTGCGCACAAAAGGAAAACGAAGAGTTTCATTTTGAGCTAGATGTTCTATCAATCGTCCGAGAATTTGTGTGTAAACACATTCACTTGAAATAATTCTTATCTTATCCTTTATCGGTACTGGACAATTACTTCCTATACAGCTGTTATGATCCTTCAATTATGATAAATTTTTAACAATCGAAAATTTATGATAAATTTTATTGATTAACGGATTGTGGTTTGTTGTTTGGGTGAACTATATCACGAATATACAATAGTATCTTATTTTACTAATACATACCTAGTTATAAGTAAATGTTTATTAGTGATAAATAAATAAGTACTTTTAAATTGTTTGTAATTTTTTATGCAAATGCAAAAAATATAGGTTTAAATGAAGAAGTAAGCTTTTAAATGTCTGTCCGTCTACCTGACTGTTGGAAATTTTGTTATGCAGATAGTTTTGGAACTACTGGACTACTACGACTTTTTACTTCCCGAGCGTAAGCAAAGGAAGTATTGTAATCGAGTCCGTCGGCCGACTCTCTGCTTTTACGTTTTCTCGATCTTTCATGACCCCTAGAAGACGAAGAAATAGGTCTCCCATTTCCGTCTGTCTGTCCGTCCGTCTGTCCGTCCGTCTGTCCGTCCGTCTGTCCGTCTGTCCGTCCGTCTGTCCGTCCGTCTGTCCGTCCGTCTGTCCGTCCGTCTGTCCGTCTGTCCGTCTGTCCGTCCGTCTGTCCGTCTGCCGTCCCGGATTTTTATTAGACAGATAATCTCCGAAAGTACTGGACCGATTGTTGTGAAATTTTGTACTTATATTAGGAATATCATGTAGATGGTAAAACGCTAACCAAAATTTGTCTAATCATCCCCACCACTAATGCGATGACGTCACTTCAAAATTGTACATAGTAAATAGGTTTTAAATTGTATAAAATAACATAGTCCTACACATGTAGTTTACGACTCCGAATTCAGTTTTTACCCGAAACGTCCAGATTTTTGGAAAAAAAATCAAAATTATAAAACAACATTTTGCAATTTAATTTTGAATCTGCTAACCCGAATGTTTTGAAATATTGCAGATGTTTTAAGGCTCTAAAGAGCATAAAAAATCTTTAGTCAAAATATATTTGGTTATCCCCTCCAAAAACTTGATGACGTCAGCTCAAAAGTTTGCCAAATAAATCCTATCTAAAATGTACAAAATATGATGCGTCTGTGCTTGTGATATATCACTCCATTCATATTTTTTGGATTTGCATATACAGGGTGACTCAAAAAAATTAATGAATGCGCAAAATTTATTTTACTGATTTACTCATTAACTACAAAACCGAATGCTTCGAAATCTTGAAGATGTTTTAAAGTTATCATAAGCATGGTAAATTTTTTATCAAAATGTATTTGGTCGTCCCTCCTAAAAACTTGATGACGTCAGCTCGAAAATTTTGCCGAATAAATCCTATCTAAAATGTACAAAATATGGTGAGTCTCTTCTTGTGATTTATCATTCCATTCAAATTTTTTCGATTTGCATATACAGGGTGACTGAAAAAAATTAATGAATGCGTCAATTTATTTTATTGATTTAATCAGGAATTACATAATCGAATGCTTTGAAATCTTGGAGATGTTTTAAAGTTACCATAAGCATGGTAATTTTTTTATCAAAATGTATTTGCTCTTCCCCCCTAAAAAAATCGATGACGTCACCCTAAAATTTGGTGAATAAATCCTATCTAAAATGTGAAAAATATGATGAGTCTGTACTTGTGATTTATCACTCCGTTCATATTTTTTCGATTTGCATATATAGGGTGACTGAAAAAAATTATTGAATGCGTCAATTGATTTTATTGATTTAATCAGGATTTACATAACCGAATGCTTTGAAATCTTGGAGATGTTTTAAAGTTATTATAAGCATGGTAAATTTTTTATCAAAATGTATTTGCTCATCCCCCCTAAAAAATTGATGACGTCACCCCAAAAGTTTGCTGAATAAATCCTATCTAAAATGTACAAAATATGATGAGTCTCTACTTGTGGTTTATCATTCCATTCATATTCTTGGATTTGCATATACAGGCTGACTCAAAAAAATTAATGAATGCGTGAATTTATTTGATCGATTTAATCAGGAATTACAAAACCGATTACTTTGAAATCTTGGAGATATTTTAAAGTTATTATAAGCATGGTAAACTTTTGTTCAAAATGTATTTGTTCATCCCTTCTAAAAAAATTGGTGACGTCACCCTTAAATTTTGCTAAATAAATCCTATCTAAAATGCAGAAAATATGATGAGTTTGTACTTGTGATTTATCATTCCATTCATATTTTTTAGATTTTCTTAAAGGGTGGCTCAAAAAAATTAATGAAGTCAATTTATTTTATTGATCAAATTAAAGGCAACACTTAGTATTAGTATTACATTGGACCAACCCAATTTGGTAGACACAAAATTTTTTAAAGTTAAAACTCGGTTGAAACATAGCTGACTAGGTTCCGCGAATGTGGTATAGACATGTTTTAAATCAACCAATTGTGAATTCCACCGTCAAAAATTAAAATAAAATCCAATGTTTTATATAATAAGCGGAAGTCGACGTAATAAAACCGATTGTCGTTTTGTTTACAGTTTCTTTGTTTGACTCTCACGTATGCTGTTACGCCTGTCATCTTAAATTAAGAATGTTTATACATACACGATTTTCAGTTGCCTCTGATATGTATACGTGAGTAAATTGTTTCGTTATTTTATTGATTATTACAAATCAATATTCAAAACGACCCAATTCATTTTCCCGAAAATTTGAGAATATAATAATTTTATTCTTAGTATTACACTACATCTATCCCAACTGATATACGTGTCCTTGCAAAAATGTTGATGACGTCATCGCAATTTTTTTTTAAATTCCCACTACAAAAATGTAATGAGAAAAAAAACACAATAGGCATGCAGTCGTCAAGTTTCCGACAGCGAGGGAAGTACTGTCTAAACTCTTTAGACCAATTTTTTTTTTAAGTTTTAAAGTTCGTGTAAACTGTAAAACACTAATCAAAATCTGTTCAATGAATTAATCTTGGAACATAAGTAGAATGTAAAAAATTGATATTGTTTAATTTATTGATTGAATCTAGAAAGTCTGATCTATTTCTCCAAATTCTGTGAAAGTTTTGCTTGCAACAAAACTGATAATATGAATTTGTCTCCACTAAGAACTGTATACAGAATACACTCTTAACATATGTGTAAAACTGTTTATCTTTCATGAGCAAGGGGGTTCGAACTGTAAGCCAATGGCAAGGATTATTGAGAGCCATGCCAATAGTGTTACGCAAATTGTTCTTTGTCCAACCCTCGCTCTTACATCGTTGCAGTCTTATTGGATAAGACAATCCATTGTACACAAGGCGAACAAGAATTCTTGTCCATTGCGCCGATTATGGAACCGCCTTTTCGCAATTTGATAGATTTGCCAGAAAATCACTGAGTTGTCCCACGAACCCAATTTAAAATGATTGTATATATACAAGCTTTTTGTATTAATCTTCTAAAATAAATAATACCAATCAATCCAAAAATATTTTATTTATACAAATGCCTAACATATTTAGCTACACTTATAAACTCTGAAAAAAATATATTTTCACGTATAGTTAACATATAACTAAGTATCAGAAAACACAATTGAGATTTTGTTTCTTATTAGCTAAATGTCTTAAATACTTATTATTATTTCACAAAAATAATAATTTAGGACATTAAAATTTAGTATCTAGCATTCGAATCCAACTAACAAGCTAAATATAGGTATATGGTCATACAGCAGTCTAATTCGGACAAATGGCTGTTGTTAAATCAACCAATTGAAATGAGTGGATCTGAACCCCGTGTCCACTGTATTGGCTAGCCAATAATATTGCAAAGTTTGAGTGATCCATTGAAGTGGGATGGACAAAGTGTATCCGGTATAATAATGACCCCTCAGAAAAAAATGGTCGAAGACTATTTCGACCGAACTTCCCTTGGCCTTGAAGTGTAATCTAATCCTGGCTTCTTTAAAACTATATAAAAATTTGATTGTACGATTTTCGTTTATTCTATAAAATAAACCCCGCAGAGGTCAGTACGAGTGTGGACAATACGAAATAAATTTAAAGCAGATAAAAACCGGAAAAAATGTGGATATTCTCAATTTCTCAATACATGCTTAACTTGTCTTGTTTATGTACATACTTCGAATAAATTCGACTGTTAGCACGTTCAAATTACAAGTGGCGCCGCCGGCAGTTAAAAGAAAAGAAAATTTGATCGATTAATTAAGTAATCAACTGCACTCAGTTTTTTCCCAATCACACTTATAAATTTGAAGGACATTTATTCGGCAAATTTGTAACAAATTTTGTTAACGATTTAGCATATTTCCAATAACCTTAAAATATTTCCAAGATTTCACAGCATTCGATTTTCGGAGTTTCAAAGTTAATTTGTAAAATATTGTTACAAATATTGTACAAACTCAACACGGTTAAAAGCTCGCATGGATTTTTTTTATTTCTTTTAGTTTAAAGAACATTTATTCTGCAAAATTTTAAAATGACGTCATAATTTTCTTGGGGGGGGGGGGGACAAAAACAAAATTTTTTTTAACGATTTATCATGTCTACGATAAACTTAAAACTTTTGTAACTTTTCAAAGCAGCATTCGGTTTTGCAACTTCAAATTTAAATTGTAAAATGTTATCTTTTTTCCAAAAATCTGCATGTGTAAGTTAAAAACTCTACATACCTACATTACTCATGCAGGAGTATGTAATTCTATCAAATTTACAGAACTCGGCATAATTTTAAGATGACGTCATCACTTTTTCGGGACATAAACGAAAAAAATTTAATTAAGAATTTACCATGCTTACAATAACCTTAAAACGTTCGCAAGATTTCAGGTCATTTGGTTTTGAAATTCCAAGTTAAATTTTTATAAAATGTACAATTTTGATTTTTTCCAAAATCTTGGATGTCTATGATAAAAAGTCAAAACAGATGTAAATTTTGGAGATGACGCCGTTCTATTGTTGGTGCGATGATCAGCCAAATTTTATTTAGAGTTTTACCATCTGCACGATAATACACATATAAAATTTTACCTTAATCGACTTTCGGAGATTATCTGTCTTGTGATTTATCATTCCATTCATATTTTTTAGTTTTGCTTAGAGGGAGTGTCTCAAAAAAATTAATCACTGAGTCAATTTATTTTATTGATTGAATCAAGAATTGCAAAACTGAATTTTGAAATATTGCAGACGTTTTGAAGTTACTGTTTGACATGGTACGTTTTTAATCAAAATATATCTGTTTATCAAGCCCAAAAACTTGATGACGTCATATCAAGATTGTGCCGAATAAATCCTATCTAAAATGTGCAAAATATCATCAGTAAATTTTCGTAATTTATCATTGCATTCATATTTTTTAGATTTGCTTTTACAGTGACTCAAAAAAATGTATGGGTCAGTCAATTTATTTTAGAGAATGACTCAAGAGTTGCAGAAATGACATAATTAATATAATTCATAATGTTTAAATATGATAACTATTAATATGTGATAATTAAACCGAAGACCATTTTCCTAAGAACACGAGGTTAGCAAAAACAAAGTAGTTTGTTTAAACATGGTTAAATTAACCCCGAACATGTACAATTTCTGAGCGAAAATATGAAAAATAATTTTTGGAATCTCATCGTGACGTACGATGACGTCACTCTCACGTGAGCTACCTGATAAAAGGTCACATTTTTCGGTTCTCTGTGTTTAGTTTTGATTTCGGTTTGGTGGCAGCAACATCAGAGTCCGTTTTGGCTTAAAAGTAGGGCTCTTTTCACGAATTTCTAATTTATTATTAATAAATATTAGTGAAAATGTGTTGCATTAGTACTGTGAACACGAACGAAGATGGATATTTTTCCGAACAGAACCGAAAACACGGTAAGTACGACTTCAGTTTTAATTTATCGGATTCCATGATTCGTTCACTCGACAATGTTTAAATTTTGGGAAAATTTTCGAAACGATTGAAGTCGGTTGATCAAAGCTATACATTTTCACGATATAAATTAATAAATTTTAAACATAATTAATATCACTTCTAATGTTTAAACATGATAAGCATAAATATATATGATAATTAAACCGAAACTCGTTGTCCTACAAGCCCGAAATTATTAAAAACAAATCAATTTGTTTAAACATTGTTAAATTATCCCCAAAAATGTGCATTTTTCCGGCCAAAATATGAAAAATAATTGTTTCAGACACTAAATGTAACCCATGTGCCATACATGTTAAGTGTGTTATATTTTCATAAAACACCTTCAAATTACTACCAGTTTTGGTCATGTATGAAGCACCATCTGATAAAAACCATTTAATTTTTTTGTGTTCAGTTCCTTTTGGCTACAATAAAGCTACAAATTAACAATTAAATAAATTATAATAATTTCACTGCTTAAAATTATCAATAGCACACCCAATGATTCGTTTGTAAATCTCGAAATTGTGTTGCTATTCGTATTATCAAGTTGCTTCAAAGCTAGTAGAAATGGACGGCCAGTTTCTACAGAAGATAACTTTCCAATTACTAAATGGGCTATGTATCTTCCTAATCTGTCCGTCGTCTCATCGACGCTAATCTATATACCTATTATTATTGCCAATAGAATTTCTAATTTGTTTAATTACCTGTAAATTATAAAATTTGTGTAAAAAAGTTAAAAAAAAAAAAATTCTAGTGCTCACCATATCGTAATCTCTTGGTAAATATTTTTTTCTCAGAGTGCTTTCTGAGGGTAAATGCCTTCCTGTATATTTATGCATACAATTTTTAAACTCAGGACAACTAACTTTATTCCATGGAATATTTGCTGCGGTAAATGCCCTACATAAATCGGTGCAAAATTTCATAAAATCATTGTCGGAACTAATGTTTAATAAAGTCTGTTTACTGGATTTATTCTCGTTACTTTTATGTGCATCGCCACTGCAGTGTTGTTCAAAGTGTGATTTTTTTTCGCACTTAAACTAGGAAACAAAAATGTGAACATAATTCAAGCTTCAGTATTTTAAATGTTTACTTACTTAAGACATAAGCACCAAAAGAACCACCAAAAAGACGAGTTGCATTTCGAGTAGTAAAATTTTTGTCAGAAGTTATGTTGGTATACAAATCCATTTGGAACAATTTTTCTTATCTTATCCTTTATAGATACCTAACCGTTGTACTTTCTACACTAGCTATTAAGGTGATAAATCCTTGACAATTAAAATTGTACGATGAATTTTATTGACTAATGAATCGTAATTGTGAGATTTCTTGCTTGGATCATTGCATCGTGATTTGTCGTCAATATAATTGTAAACAATTTTCGTTTTATGTCTTTCAGATAGAGTATGTAGATGTTCTAAACCTTTTTTTTTTCTGTAAACACCTGCCATTTCAACATTGTGTTTAACAACTTATTTTTTATCTATGTTTCTGATTTAAAAAGTTCCAAAAAGTATGTGAAATATCTGCAGCATTAAAAGAACTTCGTCGATTTGGAACTTTTTTAAGTAAAAATATAAATTTAAACACTAAATATACACTTGATTAAAACTGAAAACTGGATAATTCTAGAAGAAGAACAAAACACCTAGACAATTCTGTTGTAGACAAACCAATAAATTTGATTTATAGCACTTTATATTGTTTTATACGCCCTCATACGAATAAATTAGGTAATAACTGAACTAAAAATAATCTCACGAAAAACACTAATTTGAAAGCCAAACCACAATAATAATTGAAAAGATTAAAGTTTTACGACTAATAAATTATATGTAGAAAATAGAAATAATTAATACGGAATAAATTATTTAATTCAGCGATATTTGTACCCATATTACTCAAACCTGCACGTTCTATGGTACAAAATATTGTCTTCAAATAAACAAATAACACTCTAAAGTAGCTGTTTTTAAGTCTTTTCTAGTATATGACGTAGCGTAAAGTTTATCCCGATACAATTATGTATTTACTTTTATTGTTAAACTAAACTGGTTTATTAAAAAAGATTAGATAAAAGCTATAAATGGAGGGTAATGAAGTGCACAAGACATTCACCATGAGATCTACTCTGGTAATTTTGGTTTTGTGTTTTTGCAGAATTTGGTCATCAAGTTTGGACGGTAATTTCTAATTTAATAACAAACAAATTATTTATAGATATGACAATATTTTTTTAAAGATGAGCGTATAATCGATGGAGCAATTTCCAGCGACGGACAATTTCCATATGCTGTGGCATTTTACTACTTCCTAGAAGATGGTAGACATTTCTGCGGCGGTTCTCTTCTAGACGACAAATCTGTTTTGACAGCTGCTCATTGTCTTGAAGGGTAAAAATCTATGGTTGTTTCAAGATACGAATTTAGGTAATTTTGTGTTTTTCATAGAGGCACCCAGTTTGTTATCCACCTGGGAATTAATAAGTTAGGCGAAGCTGAAGATAGTGGTTTGGTGATAAATAGTACCAGTTACGTGATACATCCAGATTATAACGGAACAGTTCTAAACAATGATATCGGAATTCTTTATTTAGAAACAACTATTAGTTTTTCAGGTAAAATACTATAAATACCAACTACCAGAACGAACAAAATTGTGATCCATTTTAGATAAAATCCAACCTGTTGAACTACCAACAGAAGCTCTTGGTCCCAATGAAGATGTTTTTGCTTTAGGGTGGGGATCAGTTACCGATGGTACCTACATTATTTTGAATTACTATATTCTTACAATAATATAATTTATAAAATTTCAGAACAACTTCTGCCTTCAAATGATCTTAGCCATGTTTCTTTGACCACAATTTCAAACGCTGTGTGCCGTAGAACTTACGGTGATTTCATTCAAAACAATATGGTATGTTTGGTTGGAATAGGGAACCAGGGAATATGTGACGTAAGTTTTCTAAAATTGCTTATATTCTAATTTTAAATAATATTTCTCAAGGGCGACAGTGGTAGTCCACTCATACAAATTGCTTTCGATGGAAGAAACATCCAAGTTGGTGTAGCAAGTTTCTTTGGTGGATTAGGATGCGAAACCGAGCACCCATCAGGTTATACGAGAACTTTCGAATATGTGGAATGGATTAGAAATGTCATAGCGCCAGAATCAACTCCAGAACCTGAGCCAACTCTAGCGCCAGGGTCAGCTTCTATCATCACTTCACTTGTCTCTTCCGTAATGTTATTGCTGCTTGTCGTTTTATATTTGTAATTATGAGGTTAATGCGGGTTTTATTTATATCGAGTATCCAAAATGTGTATTTTTTTATTAAATTGATAAAGTGCCTTCACTATATTTTTTTACCCTAAATTTAAATTTAAAAACCCATCACATCTTCTAGTAGAAAAATAACTGATGAGTCCTGTAAGCAACATATTGTTACGTTAATCGGTGAATAAAATCGGCGTGGGTTAAACTCAACAGTTTATTTCTTACTAACTAGAATTTACACGACTAACTATTATAGGGATTATAAAATAATTCCGGCACAACTTCTCTTGACTCAACTATCTGAATAATAATCGTTCCCGACGATGGCCGCTATTTAAACCCGTACTTCCTTCTAGATGTCAGCGATCGGGATCTTTCCGGTGTAGAGCTTGTTAATAGCAATTATTGTTTCAATCCTTCTTTAAAAATAGAAACTAAGAATTCGATAATCAAAGAATTTTGGTACCTAATTAATTTACAGTCACTCGATTGCAGTTGTTAACTGCAAATGATAAGATATCATTGATAACTTTCCATAGTTTTTCGGAACTTGACACCACCCGCCATGTTATCATTTGTGCTATGGATTCTTGTATTCGTTACATATATCTTGTGGGTGCAAGCAAGTAATAACAGTAAGTGACCATATTTACCAAAATATTTTTAGGGTGGAACTAAAAAATAAATAATGTTTAGATGGACGTATTATTGGCGGTGAAGAGTCTAAAATTGAAGATTTTCCTTACATGGCCGGATTTTATTACCTCAAAGACCAAACCAGGCATTTTTGTGGAGGTTCATTGTTGAATGATAAGTGGATTTTAACAGCTGCTCATTGCATTCAGAGGTAAGTGATTATTGAATTATGAACATCTTTATAATGTCGGATTATAGTACCAAAGTCTTGAAAAGTCTAGGAAGGAATAAATTGAAATCAACCAACTTCCTACGTATGACGTCTTGTGTATATGTGCCACACCCTGATTACAATCCACGAGACTTAGCAAACGATATAGGTCTCATTTTATTAGAGGTACCTGTACACTTCTATGGTTAGAAATATCTAAAAAAATGTTTGTTTTTAATTTTAAATTTTAGATCAGATTCAGCCGATTAAACTATCAACTCGAACTCTTCTTACTCCAGAAAATGTAACCGCCCTAGGATGGGGTGCGACAAGCCATGGTATAACAAACAATGTTTAAAAAACTCAAATATTTTTGTATTGTGTTTCAGGTGCCTCTCCACCTGTAATGAAGTTGTCCCATGTATCTCTAACCACAATAACCAATAGCATGTGTCGCAGTATTTACAACTGTTCAGATATCAGTGATAATATGGTCTGCGCTGTTGGTATTGAAAACGAAGGAATATGTCGCGTACGTTATCGATAACAACATTAACTTCTTAAATAAGATTATGTTAAAGGCCGATGCTGGTGGACCACTAGTACAAGTCGATGCTAATGGGAAAAGTGTTCAAGTTGGGGTGATTATCTTTCACTCCGCAACAGGTTGTGAAGATAACTATCCTTCAGGATTTATAAGATCTGCAGATTACATTGGGTGGATCAATGAGGTAATACATGAAACTATAGTAAGTACAACACAAGAGACGACGACACCATTAGAGCCCACACAACCAGGAGATTTACCATAATGTTCCCAACAATGATTTTAGTGTCACTGATTCCGCTCATTTAACCCTCAACAATACACATAGAACACCAAGTTACGAGCGTATAAGTCATAACTTACGTAACCCAATATAATTTTTTTATTCTGTACAATTTATAATCTTCATTTAGACATGTATTAAACTTGCTAACTTTGTCATGAAATTTACTTATTTGTTTTTTGAAAACTTTTCATTTTCATTTTCCTGTAATGTTAAACAGTCAATGTCAACAGTTAATTGTATTTATGATTGTTAAATCATCAGCGTACATAAGAAATGGATAACTAAAACAAGATTTTACGTCGTTTATATAAACTCTAAACAGTAGAGAACCAAGGTTTGACCTCTACCTCACACCAGTACATACTGGAAATGTGGAAGAGCTAGACCTTTATACTCAACATATTGATAACGATTACTGAGAAATGATCTAAACAAATCCAGCCGACTAAGTTTACACAATAAAATTTCATGATCTGCTATGTCAAATGCTTTTGTCATATCTGTGTATATTATGTCAACTTGCATACGATTTGCAAGCGCATTTGAGACAATTTGTGTAAATTCACACAAATTCGTGCATATGAAGCGACTTTTCACGAATCCGTGTTGTTCATTAACAACTTCTAATGAAAAATGACTATAAAGAATTTTGGATAAAATCGTTTCGAACAGTCTTGCAAAATTACTGGTTAGTGCTATTTGTCTATTATTAGTAGACAGCGGATTTCTGTCGGGCTACGTCACGATTTTAGTGGGGACGCGCTGCATCGCCGGGACTCAGTAGCGGGTGATAGGTAATCACTGAATTTAATTGTCACTTGATTCCATAAATACAATTAACGATTTATTAATCAAACGGCTAACTAAATGAGAACTGGAATTAACAGCAGAGTGCAACGAAGCAGTGTTATTCTAATCTCAAATAAACGAAGTGCAGCCGGTAACTGCAATGAATTCCCATCCCGTACGAGCCGTACCGAGTTTGGCCTTGTCTAGCCCGACAGAAATCCGCTCTCTAATTATTAGATACCAAGTGTATAGTACTTGTTTTTAAACCGGAATGTCTTTTGCTGTGTTCCATAACGAAGAATAGGTGGACCTACTTAAAATTAGATTAAACAAGTAGTATAGTGGTGACATTAACGCATCTTATGCGAGTTTTGATTAAAAATCCTGATACATTGTCAATTTGATGTAAACCCATAAGTTGTTTGGACCAAAAGGTCGAAAAAACGAAACGGACGAAAAGGATGAAAAGGACGAATGACGAAAAGGACGAAAAGGATAAAGAACGAAAAAGACGAAAAGGACGAAAGATAAAAAGGACGAAAAGGACGAAGGACGAAAAGGACGAAGGACGAAAAGGACGAAGGACGAAAAGGACGCAGAACGAAAGGACGAAAAGGACGAAGGACGAAAAGGACGACAAGGACGAAAAGGACGACAAGGACGAAAAGGACGAAGAGGACGAAGGACGAACAGGACGAAGAGGACGAAGAGGACGAAGGACGAAGAGGGAGAAGAACGAGAAGGACGAAAGACGAAAAGGACGAAGGACGAAAGGACGAAAAATACGAAGGACGAAAAGGACGAAGGACGAAAGGACGAAAAGAACGAGAAGGACGAAAAGGACGAAAAGGACTAAAATGACGAAAAGGACAAAAAAGACGAAAAGGACGAAAGATAAAAAGGACGAAAAGGACGAGGGACGAAAAGGACGAAGGACGAAAAGGACGAAGGACGAAAAGGACGAAGGACGAAAAGGACGCAGAACGAAAGGACGAAAAGGACGAAGGACGAAAAGGACGACAAGGACGAAAAGGACGACAAGGACGAAAAGGACGACAAGGACGAAAAGGACGAAGAGGACGAAGGACGAACAGGACGAAGAGGACGAAGAGGACGAAGGACGAAGAGGGAGAAGAACGAGAAGGGCGAAGAACAAAAGGAACGAAATGGACGAAGGACGAAAAGGACGAAGGACGAAAGGACGAAAAATACGAAGGACGAAAAGGACGAAGGACGAAAGGACGAAAAGAACGAGAAGGACGAAAAGGACTAAAATGACGAAAAGGACAAAAAATATGAAAAGGACGAAGGACGAAAATGACGAAAAGAACGAAGGACGAAAAGGACGAAGAGGACAAAGGATGAAGAGGACGAAGAACGAGAAGGACGAAGGACGAGAAGGACCAAGGACGAGAAGGACAAAGGACGAAAAGGAGAAAAGGACGAAAAGGAGAAAAGAACGAAAAAGACTAAAAGGTCGAAAAAACGAAACGGACGAAAATTACGAAAAGGATGAAAAGGACGAAGGACGAAAAGGAGAAAAGGACGAAAAGGAGAAAAGGACGAAAAAGACGAAAAGGTCGAAAAAACGAAACGGACGAAAAGGATGAAAAGGACGAATGACGAAAAGGACGAAAAGGATAAAGAACGAAAAAGACGAAAAGGACGAAAGATAAAAAGGCCGAAAAGGACGAAGGACGAAAAGGACTAAGGACGAAAAGGACGCAGAACGAAAGGACGAAAATGACGAAGGACGAAAAGGACGACAAGGACGAAAAGGACGACAAGGACGAAAAGGACGAAGAGGACGAAGGACGAACAGGACGAAGAGGACGAAGAGGACGAAGGACGAAGAGGGAGAAGAACGAGAAGGACGAAGAACAAAAGGGACGAAATGGACGAAGGACGAAAAGGACGAAGGACGAAAGGACGAAAAATACGAAGGACGAAAAGGACGAAGGACGAAAGGACGAAAAATACGAAGGACGAAAAGGACGAAGGACGAAAGGACGAAAAGAACGAGAAGGACGAAAAGGACGAAAAGGACTAAAATGACGAAAAGGACAAAAAAGACGAAAAGGACGAAAGGTAAAAAGGACGAAAAGGACGAAGGACGAAAAGGACGAAGGACGAAAAGGACGAAGGACGAAAAGGACGAAGGACGAAAAGGACGCAGAACGAAAGGACGAAAAGGACGAAGGACGAAAAGGACGACAAGGACGAAAAGGACGACAAGGACGAAAAGGACGAAGAGGACGAAGGACGAAGAGGGAGAAGAACGAGAAGGGCGAAGAACAAAAGGGACGAAATGGACGAAGGACGAAAAGGACGAAGGACGAAAGGACGAAAAATACGAAGGACGAAAAGGACGAAGGACGAAAGGACGAAAAGAACGAGAAGGACGAAGGACGAGAAGGACGAAGAACGAAAAGCACGAAGGATGAAAAGGACGAAGGACGAAAGGGGCGAAGGACGAAAAGGTGAAAAAAACGAAAGGTTGGAAAAAACGAAAAGGACGAAAAGGACGAAAAGGATGAAAAGGACGAATGACGAAAAGGATAAAGAACGAAAAGGACGAAAAGACCGAAAAGGACGTAAATGACGAAAGATAAAATGAACGAAAAGGACGAAAAGGACATAAAGAACGAAAAGAACGAAAAGAACAAAAAGGACAAAAAGGATGAAAAGACGAAGGACTAAAAGAACGAAGGACGAAAAGGATGAAGGACGAAAAGGACGATTGACGAAAAGGACGACAAGGACGAAAAGGACGAAAAGGACGAAGAGCACGAAGGACGAACAGGACGAAGGGGACGAAGGACGAAACGGACGAAGAACGAGAAGGACGAAGGACCAGAAGTACGAAGGACGAGAATGACGAAGGACGAGATGGACGAAGGACGAGAAGGGCAAAGGACGAGAAGGACGAAGAACGTAGAGAACGAAAAGCACGAAGGACGAAAAGGACGAAGGACGAAAGGGACGAAAAGAACAAAGGACGAAAAGGACGAAGGACGAAAAGGATGAAGGACGGAAAAGACGAAGGACGAAAACGACGAAGGATGAAAAGGACGAAGGACGAAAAGGACAAAGGACGAAAAGGACGAAGGACGAAAAGGACGAAGGACGAAAAGGACGCTTCTTCCTAATTTTGTTTTTTATTTCTCTTGTGAACCATACTGTAGACTTAGAATTTCTAAATGGTTTCGTTTGTACGAATGTATAAATATATACTTTGGTTCAGTGTGGAAGTAACAACATTCATCATCAGCATTGTTGATTTCTAGTAGTTCGTTCCATGTTTTGTGCAGTAAATTATATAATACAGAGTTATTAGATCACCTTTAGTGCAACCGTAAGTTACATCGATTGGACGATCTGGAGCCAATCGTTGCAGAGATTGCCAAAGTGAGATGACGTGCATCCCCATCTACCAGTGAAAAGAAGTGTCTGGAAACAACGCAGTCTATATCTACTGAAGTGTATCTTCTGTACATCTTCTTGATACAGTGTTCATTTGCCTGATGGTGACATTATTTCTCTTAGGTGTTAAGTTTCGTAACGGGCTGGGGGTGCCCTGAAAAAAAAACCTATTCAGTGTAACACCGTCTGGCCATAATTCTGGATTAATATAATTTTATCTTTTTCATGTGGAGGAATAGTTATCTTAAAATTCGTTTTTATTTTTAATTGAAACTGAAAGTGTTTACATCGTTTTTATTCGAACGTTTTTCCACCTACTGTGTAAAAGGTGTATCAGTGGCGTCGCATCAAGGGTGGTGGATGGGAGTTTGCCCCATTCGAATTTTGATTTGTTTTTTCTATATTTCCACATTACTACGTACCCTACAAATTACCCTATGTAACATAGGAGAGGTCTCAGAATATTTCACTGTCTGATCATTTGCTCTGTTAAAAATTTCCTTGAGTTGTTTTTTCATTCTTGCAATATCGTTGATAACTTTTTAATATTTCTTTCTTCTCTTTTTCCAGGTCTTCTACGAACCGCTCTGCTCCCACGCTTCCGTCTTCGCCTTTGTTATCATTTTCTTTATTTCCTTTTGGCATTTCGCTTTTTTGTTTTTTAACTCGTCTTTGACCTCATTATTCCACTCACTTATATTTGTTATCTAACATAGCAAAAAATTGATATGTCTTTTGACAATTCACCAAATAATGTTTTGTTTTATTTTTTAAATAGATCAAATGACGCAACATCAACTCTCTTTGAACTATATAACTACAACCTTGATAACTCTTGGATGACTCAAGAAAGATTTATTTTATTGCTTCCATCCTCTTTGAAACATTTAATCGTCACAAAGATTTGGTAATTAATTTATTGTTACTCGATTGCAAAAACTTCTAATCTAGTTCTGTTAATTAAAAATGATAAGATATCTTTAACAATTTTCCATGTTTTTTAATTAAATGCTACGCGGAACTTAACAGCATCCGCAATGTCGTCTTTCGTGCTCTGGATTTTCCTATTCTTTCCATATATTTTGTGGACCCAAGCAAATAATAACAAGGGTAAGTATCCATAAATCCCAACATATTTTTTGGCTGGATGTAAAAAATGATTTTAGATGCACGCATTATCGGGGGTGAAGTGTCTGAAATTGGCCAATTTCCTTACGTCGTCGGATTTTATTACGACAAAGGACAAACTAGAAGTTTCTGCGGTGGTTCACTTTTGAATGATAAATGGATTTTGACAGCTGCTCATTGCCTCGTGGAGTAAGTTACGACTCAACTAAGGACATCATTACAATGTCGCATTATAGTGCAACACTGTTTACAATTTATCTAGGAACCAATAATTTGGAAGACGTAGAACGCAACGGACTAGTTCTAACGACTACCGAATATGTGGCACACCCTTCTTACAATGCACATTACTTAACAAACGATATAGGTCTCATAATTTTAGATGCACCTGTACAATTCACTGGTTAGAAACGTGTAAAAATAAACATTTTTTTTTTATTTTTAGATTGTAGATAATATTCAACCGATAGAACTATCAACTCGAACTCTTGGTGATGCTGAAAATGTAACCGCTGTAGGATGGGGAGCAACAAGCAATGGTATTTTAATACGAAAGATTTAAAAAAATATCAAATTTGTACCTACTTTGTTTCAGCGGACCCTTCACCTATGATGGACTTGTCCCATGTGTCTCTGACCACAATAACCAATACTAAGTGTATCAGTATTTACAACAGTCCAACAGTTATCAATAATAATGTGGTCTGCGTTGTTGGTAGTGGAAACGAAGGAACGTGCCGCGTAAGTTAGCGAAAACGGTATTAATTTCTTGAATAATGTTTTGCTAAAGGGAGATGCTGGTGGACCACTGATACAAATTGATGATAATGGGAAAAGTGTTCAAGTTGGGGTGGGTATCTTTCACTCCGCAACAGGATGCGAAGATAACTATCCTTCAGGATTTATAAGAACTGCAGATTATATTGGTTGGATCAATGATGTAATGGATGCAACAACAGAAAGTGTAACAGAAGATAGCACATCGCTAGGACCTACACAACCAGGAGACGGGGCTCCAGGGTCGGCATCTAGTTTAACCATAATGTTGTCTACAATGATTTTGGTTTCATTGGTTCAGTTCATTTAGCACTCAAAAATACACGTCGAACAGTGTAATTTAGTCACAGTTGATATATATATTTCCAAATATGTACTTCATTACTAATTACTATATACAAATAAATAAAGAAACTGTCAAAAATGAATAATTAGTTTTTCTCTGGATTTCGGGCGCCAGATTTTCACTTTTTTGACTTCGGAAGGACCCTATACATATTAAATCACATCCTCATATCAAATCAAAACATAGACAACTTAACCTCTTATTTCATTCAAAAACTGCATTAGACATGTCTGAGTGGTTCAGAAAAAGATAATCCTTCGGATATTTATGATTGCCATTAAAATATTATCAATTAAATAAATTGCAGACAAGAACGACAATAATTTTATTATGACTATAAAATTAACACTTTTGATAACATTTTATTGACCTAAAATACTTTAGTGAACTTACAAAGTATAAGAAATACAGTGCAACAAAATGAAACATATCTTTGTGTTATATTTTTGCTTATCTTTGTTCTTTTGTAATATTCAAAATGGTATGAAAACTTAGCAAAGCTACAGACCTTATACATTAATGAGAATTTAGCCTTACTTTTAGAACAACGCATCATCGGTGGTAAAATTGCTCGAGCAGGACAATTTCCATTTTCAGCAGCGATTTACAAAACCACACCAGATGGTAATTATTTTTGTGGGGGAGCTCTTTACACCACTCAGTGGATTATAACAGCTGGACAATGTGTCGACGGGTATAACCATTAAGAAACTAAATCTAACTATTCTTAACTATTTTTTCAGTGCTACTTTATTTACAATTTATTTAGGAGCAATCAATCTGCAAACTCCGGGATCCGGAAGTGTTAGACTAGCAACAGAGGAGTATGTCCTTCATCCAGAATATAACCCTCTAACTTTGGAAAATGACATTGGTTTAATCAAACTTCGCATGCCAGTGGAAAGAACCGGTAGTTTAATTATGTAATAAATTTTGATATCATCGTAAATCATATGTATTTTAAGCTTACGTTCAACCGATGACGCTTTTATCCTTAAACAATGTGCCGGCAGGTGCAAATTCTCTTCAGGCAATGGGGTGGGGACAAACTACTGATGGTACTTACTGATTTTAACTTTCGAAATGAATCTCGGTAAAACATACTTAAATCATTTGTAGAAAACTCTGGACTCTCAGATGACCTAAACTGGGTAACACTTACAACAATTTCAAACCAAGAATGCAAAATAACATATGGAAATCAAATAACAGATAATATGCTTTGTGTAGTCGGAAATTTCAACGAAGGCGCATGTACAGTACGTTATACTCGTGTGGTTTTAACCATTTTCGAAAACTTAATTACAAGAAATATTCTAGGGTGATACTGGAAGTCCTGTAATGCGATGGGTTCGAAGCGTTTGGTCTGAACATCTTGGCATTGCCAGTTTTGTCAGTGCTAATGGTTGCGAGAGTACCGATCCATCTGGTTACACGAGAACATATCCTTACGTCAGTTGGATTACAAATGTAACTAGTAACTAGCAATAATGCATTCAATATACGAACATGTGAAATTTGCTTATTTTTTTTTTTATTTAAAAATTACGATTTTTACTAAAAACTAGTAAAGCAAATCAACGTTGTGATGCTGAATTACATGATAAAACTTTAAAATCAGTCGGCCCCAGAACGACCTCGTAGTGGCGATCACGCACTCTCTAGAAGGAACGCGTGGCTGCGTGACGATAGCATGGATGAATGGATACAAACATTGACAAAATGAACTAAAAAGTGGACGCAAGAGACGAAAGAATGATCAAAGCAGTTGAAAAGATTAAAGCCCAGAATAAAGAAAGAATGGAAAAGATGGACGAAAAAATGGACACAGAATGGAAAAGATGGAAGCAAAAATAGATAATAAGCAATTCAGCCTCTTTGAGAGATTCCAAATGGGCTTCGAAATAAACAAAAATGAAATAACAAAAATTAAAGATCAAATGAAGGATACGAATAGGAGTTTAGAAGTTATGCAAAATATTGTGAAACAAAACACTGTCTTACTGGAAAAAAAAGTAAAGAAACCAAGAAGTCAGTCCATGAAAATATAGAAGATCTAATGTAGAACACAATGGAAGATCGAATGAAAACTACAGAAGATCTAGTAGAGAGTAAAATGCAGAAATTTGAAAAGTTGATAAAAAAGGCAACTTTTGACAATGGGCTCAATAGGTTTGGAGTCGAAATAGAAATATGAACATTTGGACCAAGGCAGAAAGTTCAAGTCAAACCTAGTCCAAAGAAGACACGGACTACGCCGTTGCATCCGCAGTCAGATGGAATCATAAAACGGTTTAATCGTACCATGGAAGAACATCTTTCGAAGGTGGTGGCTCAATGTCAGAAAAACTGGAATACCTTCCAGTATTCCTGATGGCTTATCGGTCAGCCATCAGACAAAAGCGGGCATAGTTTTCGGGAGAGAACTTTGCCTACCTTGTAACATCCTATTCGGCTCTCCAAATGGACAACCAAGGGAGGTCAAAGATCACGTCACTAGCCCGGAGGAGAAGTTGCTTGGTTGGGTACGACCCGCGCTATTTTGAACACGCTTTAGTCGTGACGTAGCCTCGTTCGATTCGAAATTACGACACAGGGCCGGCTCACACGGTAAGCGGAAGATGCACCGCATCGGAGCGCCCGTGACAAGGGGCGCCGCGCGGCGAGCGCCGCATATGCTTTTATATTAACTCTACAAAATATTATAGCAGGAACAGACCAAGGCTTTTCAGAAAAAGCTACATTTTAACATACCACTATGAAGAGAGGTTCACCAAAACAGGTCCTAAGAAGTCAATTCCTGGTACTTTCTGACTGTAATTGAAAAAAAGTGCGCCTTTGGGTTGGCTGATTGGACCTTTAGATCAATACCGACAAAAAATAACCAGATTTATGATTGCATTATCTGGGTAACAATTTGACGAGACAGCGGTATGACCAAAATTAGATGTTTTTCCTAACATTTGTTTGTTTTTACCATAAAACTCCATGTTGGCACATACTTAAAAAAATTATTTTCCAAGTCTAGTCGGTTGGTTGTGGTGATTGTTCAACAGTTTTGTTATATTTTTCACTGTTCCTATTTGTAGCCGAATTTGGTTCTGTATATCATTCGGTAGCTCTTTGTGATCATTAACTTTAAATTTAAATTTCGATCAACATTAAAGTAAGTCTAAATTAAAAATAACTTTGAAATCGTATCAATTTTAGAATACTAAAAATTGAAATATTTTTGCAATATAAATATTTTTATATTTATACTATGTAGAAGAGTTGTTGTCCGCAGCTCCGCTTGCATGGGATTTGCAATTAGGACACATCATTTTTCATCTTACTCACTCCCCCCTCCCCAGTGAACCCGTCTAACTTAAAAACTCACGGGATTTCTGCACAAATTGTCATCGCCTATTTTGTGCCCGTAGGGGCGGAATTTCCAAAAATCCTTTCTTAACGGGTGTTTATGACACAAAAGGAACCTACTCTCCAAATTTCATGTTTGTAGCTTTAGTAGTTTAGGCTTTGCGTTGATGAATCAGTCAGTCTGTCAGTCAGGACAAACACTTTTGTAGGTATATTAAGATTAATTCATCATAATTTTATGTATGTTTGTTAATAAAAAGTATCTCTACACAAAAATATGTGATTACAAAATTTTATTTGTTTTTTTTTTACAAAAATTTTTTAAAAGGCGTTGAACAGTAAGTTGCGTCTGGTCCCTTAGAGCCGGCCCTGTTACGACAGATATTGTGAACCTGAATATTTGGCTGATTGTTTAAAAAATTGGAATAGTTGATTGAATCTGTTACTTGACTCGTTGCCTCACCTATTGTGAGGTTTAATTCGCTAAATAATTCGACGTCGTTTTTTTTTTACTTGGTTAGCTCTGACATCCTGACCCCTAGGATTCAGATTAAACCTAGGTCTTTGGTTCGATAGGTTGGGCCACTGTGATATATCCGTGACGCTCACTTACATCGTTATTTGGATCAGGGGCGGCTGGTGCCGGGAGGCACAAGGGCACGTGCCCCCCCAAATTACAACGTCTACAAACACACTAGACATGGTAAAATAGTAATTTTCAATATTTAAAAAATCATTCGGAAATTTGTGTCATAATTATCAAAACTAATTTTTTTATCTCGCTTCACTTGTATAAAATCTATCAAAACTTACATCCACTTACATTTAAAGATGTGTGTCTTGGATATATATGTTATTGCTGATAAAAGCCGGGCACAGAGACCGAATCATGGCTGATTTAGATGTTTTGTTTACACCGTTGCCATGGAAACCACACGTAGTATCCGGCCGATACAACTGGACTGCGGTCCCGCTGCGACCGTGCTCGACAGTATTAAGTTACTGTCGCGGGTTTTAATTTTCATTCTGCCCGAACACGTATGATAAATATTCTTGGATAATCTTCTCGGTAATACAGACATTCGGAAACAACTACAGACCGTCTATATTAATAATAATAATATTCGGGCACATAACGCAAGGGTCGACAAAAATCGCCCAATATTACGCCGATTGATAATGTGCATAAAATTTTGTGGAGTGTTTGACTTTGCTTTACGTGGACTTGACGAAAGTAGAGAATCACAGAATCCAGGTATATTTCGAGGTCTGATTGATTCTATGGCTGAATTGGACTCTACTTTATCAAATCATTTGAAAGAAACAACGGTTTTTAAACGAACACCTAAAACTGTTCAAAATGAACTGTTAGGTGCCATGAACGTAAAATTTTAACCGAAGTCAAAAATGTATGTGGAGAAATCCGTTTTTACTTTTATTGGATGTATTTTTGTATTTATTTCCGTCACACAATTTCGTCTATTAATTGGTAATAACAACCTGTTTTATATCTTCATATCCAACTCATCAATCAAATCGTGTCCCCCCATTTCCAAAGGTCACGAGCCGCCACTGATTTTGACCCCGCCGTCTCCGCAATTGGGCACAAAAGGACAAGGAACCCGACGCGACTAATTCACACCTTATTTTCCAATTTTGGATTTAAAAGCATTAGATGATTTCTAGCGCCAGTTTTCTAGCTTTTTATGATTCCAGAATCGATCTATAATTGTTAATTCACATATCAAATCAAAACGTGAAGAATTTAACGTGGGATTTCATCCAAAAACTGCACGAACATCCGTTTAATTCCAAAATGTTTGAGTTTCATGAGAACATTTTCGTGTGGGATCTTGTCGAAAGCTTCTGCGATGTCAACGTATGTAATATCTACAGGGTTTTCATACAAATTAAAAAATGCCACTTCACGGAGATAATGACAGGAAGGCAACTGTAATTGTTGGTTGGATAACTACAAAATCCTCTTGAAAAGCGATTAGCAGACTTCGACATCGCGGAAGTGATGTTCATTGCCGTCCGATCGCCAGCGTTATTGCAGTCGTGGCCCACAACTTCGAGAAATCTTAATGACAATTACTACTTTTTCTAAGTTTTCCTCAGTTATACCAGTTTTCCTAGATGTTAAAATGCTTTAAAAACTAAAAATGATTGTTCAACATCACAACTGCACAGTGGGCCAACCAAATTCCCCATTACTTCGGCTTTACCTAACTCTGGTGATTAGATAAAAATGTAGGTATCGAGGACAACTCGATCGCTGGAAGGATAAAGTTGACTGAATCTTTGCTTAATTTTGAAATGAAAGGTAGGTAAAAATTTCAGAGATTTTGGTCAAGTCGTCATCAAAGTGGCCACAAAATTTAGAAGTTAAGTAACCAATATAATGTAATAAATAGAAAATTCCATCAATGTTAAAATTCAAGTTTGTTTTTTTAGAGCTTCGGTGGTTATAATGTCTGGGATAATTGATTGGCAAGTTGTACTAAGAACTATCTTTAAACTCGAAGTTTACTATTGTTTTGGGCCGACACCCTCAATTTGTTTCAATTCAAGGTGGCAATAAATTTGAGATATCAATTTAGTTTTTATTATTACATTGGTTTTAACGTTTACTGCTCGAACTTAACATCATTACTGTGATTTGCTTTACTACTTTTTAGTAAAAAATCAAAATTTGTGACTAGGAAAAATTGATATCAAAATCTCAGATGCTCATACATTTTTATTAGCTACTAGTTATGTTTATAATCCAACGAACGTGAGGGTAGGTTCTCGTGTAACCAGATGGGTCGGTACTCTCGCAGCCATTAGCACTTACAAAACTGGAAATTCCAACATGTTCAGAATACGAACCTCGAATCCAGTGCATTATAGGACTTCCAGTATCACCCTAGAATATTTTCTGTAGACGAATTTTCGAAAGTGGTTAAAACTACACGAGTATAACGTACTGTGCATGCACCTTCGTTGTAGTTTCCGACTACACAAACCATACCATCTGTTATCTGATTTCCATATGTTATTTTGCATTCGTCGTTTGAAATTGTAGTAAGTGTTGTCCAGTTTAGTTCATCTGAGAGTCCAGTGTTTTCTGCAAATGATTTATGTTTCACTTTATCTTCACAATTTATAAATAAAAATACTATCACTAGTTTGTCCCCACCCCATTGCTTGAAGATAATTTGCACCTACTGGCACATTGCTTGAGGGTAAATTTGTCATTGGTTGAACGTAATCTTAAAATATAAACAATTTATAATAAAGCCAACAGCTTTTTTCATAATGAAACTACCGGTCCTTTCCACTGGCATGCGAAGTCTTATTAAACCAATGTCGTTTTCCAAAGTTAGAGGGTTAAATTCTGGATGAAGTACATATTCCTCTGTCGCTAGTCTAATACTTCCTGATCCCAGTGTTTGTAGACTGATTGTTCCTAAATAAATTGTGAATAAAATAGCACTAAAAAATACGTAAGAATAATTGGAATCAGTTTTTTAATGTTTATACCCGTCAACACATTGGCCGGCTGTTATAATCCACTGATTGGTATAAAGAGCTCCACCACAAAAATAATTACCATCTGATGTAGTTTTGTAAATTGCTGCTGAAAATGGAAATTGTCCTGCTCGAGCTACTTGACCACCAATGATGCGTTGTTCTAAAAGTAAGGCTAAATCTTTATTAATATATAAGTTCTGTCGCTCTGCTAAGTTTTCATACCATTTTGAATATTACAAAAGAGCAAAGATGAGCAGAAACATAACATCAACATATGTTTCATTTTGTTGCACTATATTTCTTATAGCTTGTAACTTTACTGAAACACTTTACATTAATAATAATATATTATCAAAACTGTTAAGTTTATAGTCATAATAAAATTGTTGTCCGTATTATATGGAATCTATTTATTTGAAAGATAATATTTTAGTGACAACTATAAATACTTGAAGGTTTAGTTCTTATAGAAAAAAATCAAATTGGAGCTAAGTATCTACTTAATAATATATAAGAATATATAGCAAGTGCGATTACTTGAAATCAAATGTTAAAGCTCTGGCTTTCAAGCTATCGTACTAACAGATCTTTCACTTTATTTAAATTTACGAAAATTGTTCAAAATATCTTCCATCTCGATCTCTCCGTCTTAGCATTTTTTCAAAAGCATTAACTTAACAATTAATTATTAACAATAATAATTAATAAAAATAATTTAACATTGAAGAATTGCCTGACAAACTTCACTATCAACAATCTTCAATTTTTTGATGTCATTAATGTGGTTCTTGAACACGGTATTTTTAATTTTTTTATTATTATTTTATTTTTAACAGAGCCGAAGAGAAAAAAATTCGAAGAAGACTTTAACAATGATGTAGGCATTATTTCTTATCAGATTAAGCATTATTTTTCAAAGAAATTTATAGTTGCCAGGTTGCCACTAAAATGCTATCTTCCATATAAATAAATATTGGCTTATATCTGCAATATTTTTATTATGATGATAAACACTACAGGTGTGATAATATTTTATTTAACATTTCTCCGTAGTAAAGTTACTAACAACAAGAAAAATATTACAACAAAATGAAACTTGTTTTGACGTTATATTTTTACTTACCTTTGCTCTTTTGTAAAATTCCAAACGGTACGATTTAGCAAAACTAATGAACTTATATCTATATTAATAAGAGTTTAGCTTTATTTTTAGACCAACGCATCATTGGTGGTCAAGTCGCTCGAGCAGGACAATATCCATTTTCAGCAGCAATTTACAAAACCACAGCCGATGGTAATTATTTTTGTGGGGGAGCTCTTTACACCAATCAGTGGATTATAACAGCCGGCCAATGTGTTGACGGGTATAAGCATTAAGAAATTAATTATACCTATTTTTAAATATTTTTTAGTGCTATTTTATTTACAATTTATTTAGGAGCAACCAATCTACAAACACCGGGATCAACAAGTGTTAGACTAGCAACAGACGAATATGTACTCCATCCAGAATTTAACCCTCTAACTTTGGAAAACGATATTGGTTTAATAAAACTTCGCATGCCAGTGGAAAGGACAGGTAGTTAAATTGTGTAATAAACTTCTGACATTACCATGAATCATAATATTTTAAGACTACATTCAACCCATGACGAATTTACCCTCAAGCAATGTGCCAGCAGGTGCAAATTATCTTCAAGCAATTGGGTGGGGACAAACTAGTGATGGTATTCATTTGCTTGTTTTGTAAGGTAATTTGAAACATAAGTCATTTGCAGAAAACTCCGGTCTGGCAGATGAATTAAACTGGATAACACTTACAACAATTTCAAACGAAGAATGCAGAATAACATATGGAAATCAAATAACAGATTGTATGGTTTGTGTGGTTGGAAATTTTAATGAAGGTGCATGCACTGTATGCTATACTTGTGTTTTTTAAACAATTTCTGAAAAATTGGCTATACGAAAAATTTTCTAGGGTGATACTGGAAGTCCGATAATGCAATGGATTCGAGGCTACTATTCTGAACATGTTGGCATTTCCAGTTTTGTCAGTGCTAATGGTTGCGAGAGTACCGATCCATCTGGTTATACAAGAACGTTTCCTTACGTCAGTTGGATTAGAAATATAACTAGTAATTAGCAATATACGAGTGTGTACACAAATTTCGTTTTTTTGTATAGTGGATCAACGAAAATAGCGGTTGTAAACTTTAACCTTTTTATTACTTAAAGTAATACCGCTTTATTTTGTGTTATCATTAGGCTTCGGATCTTAGGTTTTTTGCCTTTTTATATCTACTTCAGGCATTGCAGCGAAATTTAAAAAATTCTGTTTATCTAACGCCCATTTATTACTACCTAAAATGCTTAATTTACCGTTAGAGACCTAAAGTATTAATTAAACCACCTAATTGTAAATTTTAAAAGACTTAAAATAGGATTCCACGACCAACGAAGCGGACGTGGAAAAAAAACAAAAAAAAACACAATAGAGATTTTCCGTGAATTCATTGCTTTGGGTGGCAGATTGTTTAAAAATGGGTTGTAAACAAGTTGAGTTTAATGGTACGGGTTGTTGTCGCCAACTGACAACGCTGGCCTGCATTTCATTTAGCTTATTATTATTATTATTATTATTATTATTATTATTATTATTTAGCCATCCTAACAGATAAACCATTTATAAGGATGGGAAAGAATTAAGAAAAAAAAAAAAAAGAGAGAAAATTAATTCAAAATTATAAACGCAAACTTTTAATTTGGCGGATACTGCTGTTGAATAGGTCAAAATGATTTCTGTATAAATTATAGTTACGACACATAGTGACAATAGGTGAAAACATATGTACGTTTATTCTTGAAAATTCAACGTAAAAACATTCTGGATTTCTGGTATTAAGTCTAGGTACCAAGAAAGACAATTTTCCCAATAGTACGTCTGAATCAATTTTACCATTTACAAGCTTAAAGAGAAAACATAAAGACAAAATAACACGTCTCATTTTTAACCTCTGAACTGAGAAAATGGATAGCAGAGTATCATGAGGAAAACCTCTGTCCGGATAAAAATCGAATGCTCTAAAGTGAAGAAATTTTAAAAATTTGCGTTGTAAATTCTCTATTTTGAGGCAGTGCGTATTATAACCGGGAGACCAAATAGTGCAACCGTATTCTAATTTTGATCTCACGAATGCAAAATATAAACAGAGGAGAGTCTTGTTGTTCTGAAAATGCTTGCTGCTTCGAATTATGAATCCTAAAGCTCTTAGCGCTGATGCTACTATTGAATCATAATGTTCTGAAAATGATAACTTTGTATCAAAAACTTTGATATTCACCTCCTTCCGGCTTATAGCTTATAGCCGGAAGGAGGTGAATCTCTGAAAAAGTATTTTATTTTAGAAGTTTATTGTTAGTGATAGTGAGTGTCTCTGCGTGTTAGTGAGTGTGCTGGGGCCTGTTTTGATTTTTGTGCATACAGTAAAGAATCCTCAAAATGCGTAAGGTAAAATCATCCATGAAAGATAAAATCAAATTATGGTTAGGGAATAATTTGGACACTAATTTTCAATTTCCTTCTTCAACCAAAGACAATGAGCTATTCCGCAAAGTGTGTGGAAAAGTTGTAAGTAAACATTTAAAATACTGAAGCTTGAATTATGTTCACATTTTTGTTTCCTAGTTTAAGTGCGAAAAAAAATCACACTTTTAACAACACTGCTGTGGCGATGCACATAAAAAGAACGAGCATAAGTCCAGTAAACAAACTTTATTAAATATTAGTTCCGACAATGATTTTACGCAATTTTGCACCGATTTATGTAGGGCATTTACCGCAGCAAATATTCGATGGAATAAAGTAAGTTGTCCTGAGTTTAAAAATTTTATGCATAAATATACAGGAACGCATTTACCCTCAGAAAGCACTCTGAGAAAAAATTATTTACCAACAGATTGCGATATGGTGAGCACTAGAATTTTTATTTAAAAACTTTTTGACATAAATTTTATTATTTACAGATATAATTAAACAAATTAGAAATTCTATTAGCAATAATGATATATGGCCGTCCATTTCTACTAGCTTTGCAGCAGCTTGATAAAACTAATAGCAACACAATCTCGAGATTTATAAACGAATCCTTGGGTGTGCTATTGATAATTGTAAGCATTGAAATTATAATAATTTATTTAATTGTTAATATGTATCTCTATTGTGTCCAAAAGGAACTGAACACAAAAAAGTTAAATGGTTTATATCAGATGGTGCTTCAAAACTGGTATTAATTTGAAGGTGTTTTATGAAAATATAACACACTTAACATGTATGGCACATGGGTTACATTTAGTGTCTGAAACAATTAGACTGAATTATCCAGATGTCAATGGGATAATTAGCAATGTTAAGAAAATCTTTTTAAAAGCAGCAATAAGAGCAGACTTTTATAAAAACAGTTTACCAAATACACCTCTCCCACCTGAACTTGTATTAACCAGGTGGGGCACTTGGATTCAAGCAGCATTGTTTTATGCACAGAACACTTTGATGTTTTAAAACAAGTCAGTAAATATATAATGTTTTTTTAATCATTCGTATATTGAATATTTTTAGGTTGTAGTGTCATTTCAAGCCACAGATGCACAAAGCATTAAGAAAGCTCAAGAATTCCTGAATAAAGCAAACGTTAAAAATGAACTCTTGTATATTAAAATTCACTTTAAAATTATTGCTGATGCAATAGAACAATTAGAAACTATAGGTTTAAAATTAAACCAAAGTATTGAAATTGAGGAAAAAGTGTATATATCTTTAAAAAACACACCAGGAAAGGTGGGGGAAATGGCGTTCCAAAAATTATGTTCTCTATTAAAAAAGAATCCAGAATACGATTTTATATGTTCAGTAAATAACGTAATTTGCGGTAATGGAAATGCTACCAACAATACATACATAAATGAAAACGTAGATTGTTCAATATTTAGTTTTGCACCCATCACTTCTTGTGATGTGGAACGCACGATTTCAAAACTTAAAAGTGTTTTAAGCGATCAAAGGTGTAAATTTACAATCGAAAATTTAGAGAAATATATAGTTTGCTCTTGTAACTCACTTTACATACCTGAATTAATATTTTATTTTTTGTTAAATGCGACTTGTTTTAGTTTGATCACCATTTTTTTAGCGATAACTTACAATTAGTGGACGTAACTATAGATCGTTTATTTATTTAATCATTTTTTGTTTGTTACACAAAATATTTGTTTCTATATTATTTTCTTTAATGTTTTTTTTAAATATATATTTTTTTGATGTATACTTTTTCGTTGAGCAAATATTTTTTCCTCCAGGTTTTTAACCTAAACTAAGATTTTTATAACCTAATTCGTCAATTTTGGGACCTCAAAATATCTCCTTTTATTCACTTTTTAACGACCTAAAATCCGAAGCCTAGTTATCTGTTTTCTACGACTTAAATTTTGAGGATGTATTCATGGACACTCTCACAGCGAAGTGTCTACCAAAAACATTGTTCTAATTTCGACAATATTTAATGTGTTTTTATTTATGAAATGAAGACTTCGGTTCTTAAAGCTTATTCATATTTCTTAATTTCTTCATTCTTATATTTTGCTTTTTTTTCTTAATTTCCATAGCCATCTTTTCACAACAAGAACTTAAAACATGGTTAAAATGGTACATTTTTGCAAGGAAATATGGATTTTGCAATTATGGGGCGGAGCTTATACAAATTTTTCAATTGTTTTATAATAGTCACAATTGAGATGGGGTGGGTGGGCGGGGGTGACATTTTCTTTTTTTTTTTTCTTAATATACATAGTATTCATGCTCATAAACATGTTTTTACTGCCTTGTAAAGAAATAAGTATTTTGCAGTTAAACTCCGCCCCCTTGGCTCACGACGAATAAAAAAAAATCATCACAATTGAGACAGGGTGAGTGGGCGGGTTTAGATTTTGCCTTTTTGTTTTAAGGTTTGTAGACTTCTTTTCACAACATGAAACATAAAATATGTTTATAATGGAAAATTTTTATAAGGAAATATCGAGCAGTTTCATGTTGTAAAAAGAAGTCTGTCCATGTTAAAACAAAACGACAAAATCTAAGCCCGCCCACCCACCCTGTCTCAATTGTGATGATTTTTTTTTATTTGGCGTGAACCAAGGGGGCGGAGTTTAACTGCAAAATACTTATTTCTTTACAAGAAATTAAAAACATATTTTTGAGTATCGGGTTATCAAAAAATACTATGTATATTAAGAAAAAAAGCCAAAATAGAAAGCCCTCCCACCCACCCCTTCTCTATTGGGGTGAATGTTTTTCTTAGAAACTTAAAACACATTTAAAATGGTGAATTTTGGTAAGGAAATATGGATTTTGCAATTATAAATTTTTGTTTTAGTTAATATTTAATCAAGAGATTGTGATATAATAATTCTTATCACATTATCTGCTTATAGCTACAATATTTTTATTATGACTATAAACATTACAGTTGTGATAATGTTTTATTAAAAAAAATGTATAGTAATGTTACAATCTACAAGAAGTACATTAAAACAAAATGAAACTTATCTTTATGTTATATTTTTATTTATCTTTGCTCTTGTGTAATGTCCAAAACGGTATGAAAACTTGTCATAACAAATGGACAAAACATATTAATGACAGTTTAACTTTACTTTTAGAACAACGTATCATTGGTGGTCAAGTTGCTCGGGCAGGACAATTTCCATTTTCAGCAGCAATTTACAAAAACACACTCGATGGCAATTATTTCTGTGGTGGGGCTCTTCTGACAACTCAATGGATTATAACAGCCGGTCAATGTGTTGACGGGTATAAGCATGAATAGATTGATCCTAACAATTCTTAAATATTTTTTAGGGCTATTTTATTTACAATCTATTTGGGCACAAATAATATAGAAACACCAGGATCAACCAGTGTTAGACTGGCAACAGACGAATATGTACTCCATCCAGAGTTTAACCCTCTAACTTTGGAAAACGACATTGGTTTGATCAAACTTCGCATGCCAGTGGAACGCACAGGTACTTAAATTACATAGTAAGCTTTTGACATTATTATAAATCATATGTACTTTAAGACTACATTTTACCGATATCA